AGAGTGGACCCAAACCCCTGATTATATTAACAGTAGTTGATTATTCTTTTTGATTTATTATAAATGTTTACGATAAAAATCACTCAAAAACTAAAATACAAATAAAGTTTAAAAAAAAATAAAAAGACTGAAATCCATTTCTCTTGTTTAAAACAAACTGATATAAACAGAATGGCACTGATTTGTGTTGCTTATTCACAGAAACGGTGAGGCTTTAAAAACCGGACACGGTGGTTTTCTTAAACGTCGGGTTTGAGTTCTCGTAGTTCTTTCATGACTCAGCAAAAAGAGATGTCTCTATTTTTTGTCTTTTAGAAACATTTGGTTGATTTTTGTAAAAACAGGGCAGAATAAAAGCCCGAGTCCTCCGCACAGAAAATAAAAAGCCTTAAGGGGTGTGGGATCTTTGCCTCATCCTGTTCATTTACGTGGTCCCAAACTAAAACCAGGCGAGGCGTCTCTAAACGCCTCCAGCTCGGTGATCGTGGCCCAGAGTTCTCCTCCAAGGCACAAACTCGAGAGTTTAACGTCACAAGGTCCGTCGCTGGGTCCCGACCCGCCAGCTGAGATAGGATCATGAGTCATCCGAGGGGGAGGGGTCGACTTTAAACCGTGGAGTTTAGAGATAAAACGAAGAGATTCTAATATTTGTCCTTTTATAGATGAAAGTTCCTCACCTGTCTGCTCATGTCTGCTCCTCAGCCTGAGGCTGTGATTGGCCGCCATCTTCAGATTCCTCCTGCATCGCATCATCCACCTCCTCGTCTGGCTCCTCCTCCTTTACCTCCCCGACGCAGTTGTCGTTTGGAGCCACCTCTCCTTGCTCTCTCACCTCCATTTCTCCTCCACTGTCTGGTAACTCAGCTGTCATCGTCATCGCCTCCTCCTCCTCTTCGTCCTCCTCCTCGTTGTCCTCCTCGGCCTCCTCGTCGCTGAAGGGCTCCTTGCCCTCCTCCACCCGTCTGGCTGTCTCTGAGAACCAGTCTCTCACCTGCTCGTAGCTCATGTTGGACTTTGCTACCAGGTCGTCCAGGTCTCTCTCGCTCAGCTCTCTGTGTTTGAGGTAGTACTCCTTCAGAAACACCTTTCCAGACTTCACCTGCAGCAGGAGGAGGAGGGGGAGGATGAAGAACACAAGTCTAGAACTCCTCTAACCTCTGAAGCAGCTTCATTTATGATTTTCAGCTCATTTTGAAATGTTAAACTTGTAAATTGGGATTAAACTTCCTGAAAAGCCTCTGATGAGAAAGGATTGATAAGCTAATGACTAGTTTCAGCTCACCTAACACCAAAGTGGATTTCTGCCATCTTAAAACAGCTTGAATGAATTAAATGTTTATTTACATGGCTGTCAATTAGAAATTACATGATTATTTCCAGATATACAGACACATTTCTGACAGATTTGACCCCTGAATGAACTGCAGGTGCTACATTTAGCTGCTGCTGATGTTTATGTTTGTAAACAATCATGTAACATCAAACCAACAATGTAGTAATTAATGAAGGACCCCTTTATGAGCTCAGAGATGCTTTTGGAGGTATAAAACAACACCTACACACTTTGGTCTTAGCTGTATTAAACTAGCTGTTAGCTCATCAATCTTGTCAGGCGTAGCGTCTCCAAACGGAGGCTAAGCCGTTTATTATTTATATAATATGATAGGGGAACTACCCAGTTGTTTCTACAAACATGCAGAAAGAAGCAGCTGAAAATGAAAATTAAACCATTTAGAAACTCTTCTGCTAAACTTTCTTCCATTAAGTTAAACTTTCACTTCATCACAGATCAATATTCAATAAGAAACTTTTAGTAGAACTCATTTATTCGTGCAGATTAAGGAAAAACTAGAAACGTTTAGTAATTTCCCCCGAGTTCTGAGCTAAACTCACCAGAACTGAATCATCAAACAACCCAGCTGTCTCTGATTTGATCAAATCGGTCTGTAGGACTTAGGAACACGACAGGTGCTTCATGATGAAGCCTCAACCGGGGTTAACGAACACACCTTAATGACGCTGCCTCCCCCACGTGGGGAGCGTTTGCTGCTAGACGGACGGCGTGACCGCCTGGACCAACCATGGCAACGTTTCCTGGGCTTCTTCTGAGTCTTCGCTCCACCGTTCAGCGCTTCATCCACCTTAAAGACACCACTTGTTCGTCAGTCAAAGCGCTCTAAAGAAGAACAAACCGATCTGAACAAAAGCATAGGCACCTTTCCGCTCTGGTAGAGGTAGTACCACTTCAGGTTGCTGTTTTTGCAGGCGTAGCGCGTGTCTCCGAACCAGTTGACGACGTACGTCCTCGGCAGGCCGCTCTCCTCAGCCATCTGATCGTACTCCTCCGGGGTCGGCCACTGCGAACGGATGAAGGCCTTCTTAAGAATGTGGAGCTGTTCTGGAGTCTTCTTCAGGATCTTCCTGGTGACGGGCGGAGTGCTCTGGCGCTCCTGAGCGAAGGATAAAGGTGAGGTCACCTTGTCCAGACCCCCCTCCCCATCGCTGTCTTGAGACTGTGCTGCTGAAGGTGCTTTCCGTCTTTCCGTGAACCAAGCGTCCACCTCTCGTCTCGTCAGCTTGGTCTCGGCACGCAGCCGGCTCAGCTCCTCGTCCGAAGGCCTGTCTGACTTCTGGAAGCTTTCCTCCAGGATGTGCAGCTGCTCTGGCGTCTTTTCCTTGAACTTCTGCGGAGTAAAGTCGGGGAAGGCGTGGCGAAATTTGACCCGTGGGTCGCTCGGTGAGCCCAGTGAGCTCGGAGCTTTGGCAGAAATCGGGGAGGCGTCGCTGGCGTCGTCGCTGGAGTCTATAACGATGGTGGTGGTGTTGGCGGTGGGAGTTTCGCTCGTGATGTTTTCACTCAGGCTGCTGCTCCGTCCTCCTCGTCCTCCCGACACAGCCGCTCTGCTGGAGGAAGTTTCACTCAGAAGCAGGCTGTGGTGGTCCTTGGAGTTCCTCTGGTTGTAGCGTGTGTCGCTGAACCACTTCTTTATTGCTCGTTTGGAGAGTTTGGTGACTTGCATGAGGCGGGAGATCTCCTCCTCCGTAGCAAACTGCCTCCTGCTGTAGCTCGCCTTCAGCTCCGCCAGCTGCTCTTTGGACTTCTTCGGTTTTGCCGCTGCTGAATCCAAACTGAGAGATGAGCTGGCTGAAGAACCTGAGATTTCGGTGTTTGGTTCGGGAGCTGAAGGTTCCGCAGCTTTGGGCTGGTTCCCAGGTACCCCCGCCACCGCCAAAGTGATGGGAGATGCCACTGGTACGGCGCTGCTGTTTCCTGCCACCTGAGTGAGGACGAGACCCGGCTGTCCGACGATCTGGCACGTCTGAAAGATGGACTGTAGCCTGTTTGTGGTGGCGCCGATATTGGCCGGGATGACGGTGATGGTCTGTGGGACGGTCTGGACCGTGCCATTAAATTTCTTCCTCCTCGCCTCCTCCACCTGCAGAGAGGAGCAGCAAAGATATTTCTTTCTTTAGAAACATAAATGCAAAGCAAAACATTTTTCCTAAAGGTGCATGAAGTAAGAATGCCATCCTGTGGTCAGATGTGGGTACTGCAGCCTATGTATCAAAACAAACAAGAAGATTGTAGACGATAAGCAAAGAAGAGTCAGACTGAACATTGATAGGTAGATAAACACATTTCACCATCACGTTTAGTTGTTGGTAATTTAAAAAGTAATTTGAGACATTTTAGAGCCAACTATTTGTTTCTAATTCACCGTTAGCATTGTTAGCTCAACGTTAGCCTCTAGCCTTCTTTACACAATAGAGTAAAACAAATTATATTTGACTTTCTTTTGCTTCTGGGTTGCTTCTTCACTCGTGTCTATTCTTTCACAACGCTGCCGCCCTTTGCCTTTGCATATACGTAAGCCAGGTGTTGCAGCGCTCCGCCAATGGCATGGCGACCGTAGAGCAAGGCAGATCAAGGAAGCACAATTTCACAGAAGCAGAAGTTGAGGTACCGGTGGGTGAGGTGGAGAAATGAAAGGAAGTGCTTTTGCAAAACAAGTAAGAGAAAATCCACGGAGTGGCGCAGCGTTGCTGAAGCCGTCAATGTTGTGAATTCTTCAGAGAGATCTGTGGCGGATATTAAAAAAAATGGTCCGATTGGGATTCGATCCTCAAGACTCCCAGGTGAAAGTCACAGGCGGTAACCAGTCAGCCAAACGGAGATCTCCCCTGTCCAAGTAGCCAGGGCGCACGACCAATCAGGTCACAGTGACAGGACACACACTGTCACAGACGCATTACATTCTGTCCCCCTGCTGATATTCTGCATTCCGTATTCTGCGCTGGAATGCGCTTCAGGCTGTGTGTGTGTGTGTGTGTGTGTGTGTGTGTGTGTGTGCGTGCGTGCGTGCGTGTGTGTGTGTGTGTGTGTGTGTGTGTGTGTGTGCACGCGCGTGGGGGGTCTTATTCTGTGTGAAACCGAAGCAGTACAAGTGATAATGCTGCAGGATTTCATAATTGTACCTTCTCAGCAGCAGCACTGCAGGTGCTCTCCATGTCCAACGTGTGCGTAAGCCAGGTCCTTAGTCAACTTAAAGTTGAGCACATTTTTCCCGCTAAGTTTTCTTTCATAAATCCCAAAGTTTGCATGGAAAGTCGCTTACGCAGTTTTCCGACCCCGTTTTGTGCGTAACCAAGCCTGATAAATGAGGCCCCTGATTTATGGAGGTTCTTTCCTTCTGTGGGAAGTTTGCTGAACTTACAGCACTTTTCCCTCAGTTTTCTCCGTGTCTGGCTCGATGACGTCACTTTCGTGAAGTGCATTTGTAATCCTGGACTTATTTCCACACAAAACTTAAAGTAGCGTTTATCCCGTTCTAAAATAAGCGCATTCTTGGTATCAAAACGTGTCTTTAAAATTCACGGGCATCGTATGTGAAATCCATGGCACAAAACAAGCGGAATTAGAAAATAACACATTAGCCCCATTGACTTGCATTAATTTTTTCCTTCTTCCGGGGACCCATGGTCCGGAAGTAGATGGGCGTGACTTAGGCTCCCTATATGATTGGTTCTGGAACTAGAAAGTATGGGGGCGGGACTGATTGTAAACCGTCTACATCCCTTTTTAGTTTTTTTTTAAGAGAAAAAAAAAACCTGACAACCCCCCAGCCGGCTGAGAATTCAATCAGTTTCCATCTAACCTTCCTTCCAACATGACTGTGATTATCCAACTGTAGAATTCTTACTTATTGCACCTTTAAGGCGATCTGGCAACAGTTTGGGATTTAAAACATCAGCAAATAAAAAAACAACAGCAAATTCCCGTCAGTGAGCAGAACATGAAAACACTTGCTGTGAAACGCCTAAAAAGTTTTTTAATGGCAATCATCAAGTTTACATTTAAATGGTAGGGATGCACCGATATCGATACTGGTATCTGTATCAGTGCAAATACCGATACCTATGCGGGTATCGGTATCGGTAAAAGTTAAGCGATACCAGGAACCGATACCAATGTGGTTGCTTGAAAATGGCTTCACTGTAACTTGTCATTTCTGTTCACCTAATATTTTAGTTTTGTGGTGATTTCTATTCATATATTTTACTTTTTATCTACCTCACAGTCTTTTCCTGTTGAAAGCAGAGAAGAAAATAAAATCTGTATTCCAAATCATTGCATTTTTTTGTGTGGTGGACGTATAGGTATCGGTAATCGGTATCGGCAAATATTCAATTGCAAGTATCGGTATGGTATCGGTTTGGAAAAAAGTGGTATCGGTGCATCCCTATTAAATGGGTAAACATGTTGATTGTTTTGCACAATTCATGATTGTGAAATTATTAACAGATCATTTTTCAAACATCCAAAGAGCCAAATATGAACACATGACACAAACCTCTAACAACTAATGTTTACCACAGAGGAGGACCACTGTAGGAACTCCCAGAGGTTTTTCACAAAGACTTTCTGATCAGCTGACCGAGCTTTTATAGATGACCCTGTTTGTGTGAACTTTGACTTTTAAGCTAAGTGTTACTGAAGAGATACGACAGAGTCTACTGGTCTGTTTCCAATAAAGCCAATAACACAGGACTAGAACAAGCTGGAGGTGGAACACGTTTAAACATGTCTGCTGCCGTCTTTAGAAGCACGAGGTCTAATTCAATCTTTTTATGAATTTTATTCACCGTATTTTTGCTTTTAATCTAAATCAAGATCAATGGAAGCAGAAACCCTCAAGAAGAAACGTGAGCTCCATTTATGACATTTTATTAAAAGCCGTGCGTCTACGAGGAGTTACTGACCCGCCTTTACAGAAAAATAGACAAATTCTTATTTTCATTCAAATATTGCAGGTTTTATGGATTATTGAGCAGGTCACAAAAATGTGTTTTAAAATCCAAGCTGCACTGATAAACGATGTGTCACTTCTACATCAACAAAAAGCAATGTTTTAACTAGCTTGGGTCTGTTTTGTGGCGTTTCCAAGGTAACAACGCATTTATAATGAAACGTACCTGCCTTACTAATAATGACACTGAATCAATGAATGAAAAGTTAATATTTCTGCCTAAAATAATAACTTTTTCTAGGCTGATGAGGTTTCAGGTACTTAGGCAGCAAATACAAGAGTTGAGATGCTGCTGTCTGATCCCACCTTTGGGTCAGACGGTTTCTGCCGGTGAAACCAGCCGGTAAAGTTCTAGGTAAAGCGCAATTCAAACACAAGTTAAACTCAGAGTGTTGAACAGATTCAAAACAAAGCATAAAAACACTAAAATCAAAAGATTCACTCCCGCAGCTTTTCAGAATAAAGTTTCTGACTCGACTTTTACACATTTTCACAGGTTCGCACCGAGAAAACTGTGATTTTTCTTTTCCTTTGCAAGGAGTGAAAGATCTTACAGCAGTGCAAAAATAAATGATGAAACCGAAAGTAAAACCACCGACCTCCTCTGGCGTCCAGCTGACTCCGTGTTTGAGCCTCTGAGCAGAAAACCAGACCTTGATCTGCTCCTCGCTGAACTTGGTCTGCGACGACAAGCCGATGATCTCCGACACGGACGGATATGGAAACCTGCAACCAAATCAAGGGTCAGATTCTTCTTCTCAGGATTCTGCTGATTACATTTTAGGGAAAACAACCAAAGTGGTCCATTAAAGATATAAATGTTTGCTTTAAAAAAAAAAAAAAAAAAAAAAAGACTATAATCAATAAAAAAAACTAACATAACAAAATTATAACCTCAAATTAAAAACCAGATTTTATTTACAACATTTCTACAGGAAAGATTTATGAATCTCAGCAACCGGGCCATTTTTGACAGCTCTGTAAGCAAGAAGTGTTGACTACAGTTTTTAATAGGTAACTATTAAAGAAATAACCCATTCCTTTAAAAATGCCGGTCAAAATGTGTAAGACCGTGCAATGGCGGAGAGGGACGAAAAGCACCAACTTCCATGGCGTGTACATTACATAAATTCTACAGTATTTAGTGAGCTAAAAACTCCAAAAGATGCATAAAATCTAAAAATAAAATGGAAGAAAGTCCAAAATCAGTCCCAAAATGAGCAGTAACCCTAAAAGATCAGGATTAGAGTTTGAAGGTTTTTGCTCTTAAAGTAGTTTCAGTGATTCTTGTGGTAAAAACTTCACACTGGACTCTGTCGCCCTCTGTTGACCAGAAACAGCAGAGGGCCAACACTCATTTGAGGGAGCTAAAGGAGGGTAAGAAATTAGACTGATGGTGACCTGGCTTTGTTGCTACTGGACATGTAAATAATACTATGCTTGTCCAACAGAGTGGATCTTTTTACTTTGTCGCTTATTTAGCATCCGTTGGCTCATGTTAGTGTTAGCACTAGCTACATCAGGCTGTGGCAGGGTTGATTATGACAGTTGTGATTAAGCTTTCTACCAGGAGGACAGAGAAGCAGGAAACAGATTTATTGTGGCTTTAAGAAACTTTCAGGTTGCAGAGACCTGTTGTAGGCGCTGACGAGCAGGACGTTGTTGTCCATGGCGGTGTTGTAGGTGGGGATGCTGCTGATGGGGATCAGGAGCTGGGTCTGAGTGTTCTGCTGGGTCTGGAGGGCTGACAGGACTTGGGCCAGTGTCCCTGGGGGCAGAACGGACCCACCACCACTTGAGCTGCCTTTAATCTGTAGCATGTTAGGACTGTTCACCACAATGTTTTGAGGAACGGTCTGGACCTGCACGGGTGTGGAGATGGGTATGAGGCGAGTGGTGGAGGGGGTCGTGGGCGCAGGTGACAGCCTTGGAGGCTCTTGGTTATCGTCATCCTCGTCGTCACTTTCCACCTTAATCACGTTGTTGACGGTCATTTTATGTGCTGTGGTGAATTTCTTGGGCTCCGGTCTGCTCTTGATCCTCATGATGGGGGTCTTGCTGAGGGGGATGGCTTTGCGAGACGTCTCCTCCACCTCCTCCTCCTCCTCCTTGATGAAGCTGCCGTCGAAGGTGAGGTCGTTGACCGTCTGCTGGAAGATGGTCTCGTTGTTCCGCTTTACCATCGTCCGTGTGAAGTTGTCCTCACCCGGGTGCAGCCGAGCATTGTGGGCCTGAAGCGTGTCATAACTGAAATGAGGAATTATGGGTTAACAACAAAATAACAGATGGTAAACACTTGATCCAATAAAATTGCTTTAAACTTGTCAAAATAAGGCAAAGATGTTATTGAGATTATATTGTTTCTTTATTAATCAATAAAAAAGTAAGTTTAGAAAAATTGCAAAATTTTTTTAAAGAAAGAGAAACAAACTTCACTCAAAAACCTTAATAAATGTATTAAAGGCTCAACTAAACACCTAATTTTTTTTGTTTCTGTCAAAATGCATAATAAACAGGGATCACAAAACTAGCTTTCATCTAAAAAAAACAAACTAAATAACTAACAAACAAACAAAAAGCACCAATTCAAAAAGTAAGGGGCAACAAATGACACTTTGCAAACAAAATTTCCAGTTTTCTAAATAAAATACCAGAACTTCTGTTTTTAATACTTTTTCTCCAGACAGCCCAATTTTTTTTATTCAAATTAAAAATATGATTTTAGTTTTAATTCGGCATTTAATAGAAAAAAGTTTGAGATATTTTTTTGTTTAGCAAATTTTAAAAATGTGGTTTTAATAAAAATTTTTTGAAGTTATTTTTTATTGATGAACAAAGGAACAACATGACCTCGATAAGACACTGTAAGCCTAAAATATTTGAGGTGATTTTTTTAAATACTCTGTGGGATATAATATTAATTTTAAATTTAAAACAGCTGCATTTTACTGCAAAAATTGGCTAAAATTAGGGATGGACAATATATCGGCATCAATATCGGTATCGGCTGATGTTAGTCATTTTTTTGAACATATCGGTATCGGTTCGATAAACAAGACCGGGCCGATATTAACAACCAATATTTTTTCCATCTCGTCTCCATTTGTTTATGTTTCCGAGGGTGATGTGTAATTGTTTAGTCATGTGACGGTGACTGTAATCATCTCAGACGCGTAAATGTGTGTGGTGTGTGTACATAATAAAGTAAATTCAGCTTTACTCATTTTCATTCTATACCAAATCTGCTAATTTTACAAGAATTTATGTCAGTATATCGGTTATCGGCCATAACAGTGATCTTAATATCGGATATCGATATCTGCCCACAACTATCATAGCGGTGCATCACTCGTTAAAATGGTCACTTTACCTTTTAGTGTGGTAGTCACACTCCATGCAGACATAAGAGGCATTAATGACGACCTCAGGGTGCTCCGTGTCCACATGCATGGTGAACAGGTTCAGCTCTGAAGTCTGAAAGCTACAGTATTTGCACTCATAGCCCCCCTTTTCCGTGTTTATGTCCATGTAGGGGTCTGGCACCCCATACTGCTCAATGTCAGAATCCTCAGATTGTTCCTCAAACAATGCAAGAGCCTCAGAAGAAACTGTTGCCAAACCGTTGCTGTCCTCTGGATCTGTCGTGTCCATGCCGTCCTCCATCTCCTGATCAGAGTCTATGGGATCTTGAGGAGGGACCATGCAGGGAATGGTGGACTTCCTCCTGCTCGCCATCCTGGATTTACTGAGCGTCGCCGAGTGCAGAGGTTAGTTTGAGCTGCCTTGTTGGAAATCCATTAAAGAAAGGTGGTGTCATTTAAAACCTTTCATCTGTGATGTTTAAATCCTGGAAGAGAAGAAAGCAAGAAATATTTAGCATTGCTCTTTTTGATTCATAAACAAATCCCATGAACACTATTTTATATTGCAGATGCTTAGGGATCGGATGTTGGAGCAAAAATACAAACATCTGGCTTCTTTTGATGTTTCTAAACATTTTGATGAGTTACTACGGTGCCTAAAGTTACTATTTACATTTAATCTTTAATGAGTTTTCTGTTACGCATACAAGCAGAATAGACGAATGATTCACAAGTCAGCAATAAGATTTAAAATCTGAAAACAAAAACAATGTAGTGGACAGAAATGGTCAGAAATCAATCATTGATTAAATCAGGAACAACAATATGACAAATCCATTCATTTGTGTTTCTTATTCTGCAAAGAAAAGTGGAAACCCCCAAACATCTGTTCCGGCAGAATTGGAAGCTTTCAGCAAAACGGATAATTTAGCATTTCTAAACATCTGTCACGTTTTAAACTAACACAAAACCCCAAACACAACTTTTTCTCGAGTTAGATTAGATTTATCGGATGCAGAAGGGTCAATGGTCACATTCTGGGAAGCATGAGGGGCAAACTGTCTCATGTGACATAATAGAATCCAGCATTTTTGTAGATAAATACAACATACTAGTAAATACACATACTAGTAAAGTCGTTGGTCCAAGCCCAGCAGAGCATGCACGAGATGAAGATCACGCAGAAAAAGACATCCCAGTCTGGCACAATGAGCCCTGAAGTCTCTGGTCTTCCTGATAAAATACTTCATCCTCACAGCTAACGTTAGCTACCTCAACAAAGAGCCAGGTCCAGAACAGTGTCCTGGGAAAGAGTACAAACACAGCTGACAGCTGCGTTTGTTTACCTGCTGAATCGTTCCGCGTTTATCTGCATGTTGAAACAGTTAGCAGGCTGCTGGCTGTAGCTGTCTAGCATCTCTGAGTCGGTCTGTTGATCCGCAGTCTTCCGCATTTTACCCAATTTCACCGAGTATCCCATCTGCCTCAGCCAGACAGTTAGCTACGCTAACAGCCGAGGTCGCGCTGACTACCGAGCGTCCGCCGCGCGCTTCGTTAGCCTTGTTCCGGCCCGCATTGTTTAGTCTGTTGCTGTCTGTCTGAAAAGGCCAATTTCATATAAAAGGCAACGATAGTTCACCGAATTCAACCATTTTTTGGTAGCTGTACAGAAAGTTAGCAATGGTGGAGAAACGCATCCGGTTTGAGTGTTTCAAAATAAAGGTTTTATGCAGAAAAAATTGCCTTTAAATTTAGAAAATACTTTTTTTTAATTATGGCAACCGCTAGATATTTCAATTCATGTTTTTGTACGGATGAAGACAACCAACCACTACTGAACTACCTTGTTCATTTATCTTGGTACATTAGCCAATCATACGAGAGAAAGGCGGTCACGTGAGATGCTTGGAACAATAATTAAACGGAATAAGTTATCTTTTCTACACATATTTTAGGAGAAATTAAACCCATTATGCAGGAAAAAATAATTATTTCGTTTCAGGTCAAGTTGATGTAAGAAAGTATTTTGAAGGCAGCTGTGTGAGCCGGAAGCGTCAGTTGGCGTAATGACTTCAACGTAACTTTTTTTTTCCCCCTACATCAGCGTGGGGGCAGAGGGTTCATGTACGCCGTGACGTCAGAAAAACAGCGTGCAGCGCCCCAACTGTGAGTTGAGCAAACATGAACAGTAAGAATTATATACCATTATTAAGGCATCCGCATCGTCTAAAATATTTAATTGACAGGAAACAGAGGACATGGCAACTTTTAAACAAAATAAAGCTTTATTTTTTTTCTGTATTAAAACTTTGAAAATAAGTAGAAATATTTAGATATTAAAGTGTAGCTTTTGTTCAGTTTTACATAAAACACACTTTATTTTCTTAAACCACAGATGACAAAATTAATAAAACAACACTGCACAATGTATTTTTTGCCAATTTTCACATAAATAAACATTAATATAACTGAGAAAACAATATTTACTGAGGTACGTGATCTGCTGCATAACATAAAAACTCAAGCAATCCTTAAACACTCAAACAAACTCAGGATTTCTTGAAAGTGCTCATGAGAAGCTGTCAATTTCTCTCCTCATTTCCTGGAAAACACACAAAAAAGACAGAATTTATACACCAGACAGGAAACTTTGAGCCAAAACAGCTCTGTTAGCCTTTTACATGCAGGGTGCAACGGAATTTCTCACATATTTTATGAATGGTATAAAATTTAAATGGCAGAATCACTAAACAGTTTTTCCGTGCCACTTAAAAAGGTAATGTTGCTGCCGTACCTTAATGAGCTCCGTCTTGTTGTGGTGGTCTCTGTGCCTGTAGATGCACTGAGCCAGCAGAGCGTAAAGCTTCTCCAGCGACTCCACCTCCGCACCTTCGGTTTTCGCCACAGCTCGGTTCAGCAGGTCCTAAAAAACAGAACCAAGACCAGAAAAACTATTTCTGCAATAAAACTAATGTTTGGCATTTAAAAAGCATAAACTCGTATAGAGTGATGGGGAAAAGGGTGATCTGTGGGATGCTTTTCAGGAATACACACACGTCCAATTACATTTCTCTCAGTTGGTTTTTAATGCAAAACAAAAATGACATACATAAGTAAGGATCAGTGTTTAAAATGGTAGTAATAAAGTAAAATGATCATGTTGATGCAGCTGCTTCTAATCAGAAATAACAATCATCATCATTACAGAACGGTGACTTACATTTAGTTTGTTGTGATCGACGACCACTGGGGGCGTGTCGTCTTCCCTCTGCCCGTTGAGCAGCTGTTTCTGCACGGCGGCCTTGCCCACCCTGGTCTCGTGCTTTCTGTGTCTTTCTAAGGAAGACATGGACATAAAAGGGCTTTTAACATCTAATGAGATGCAGATTGTTCCCGTTTTGAATGGTTTCTGGCTGTAAATTTAAATTTTAACGTGATTTAAATGAAAAAATGAATGTCATACAAGCATGATTAAAGCAGCAATCTGGAGTTTTCACTTTTTCAGGAATTATGTAGGATCCATGAAAGTGATAGTCTTAAGCTTGGTTTATGCTTGACGCATTCACTTTCCGCTTGGTGATGCGGCTCGCGGCTGGAACGCGCTTCACAACTTGCAGCGTTTATGGTTCATGCGACTCGTCTCTGCGGTGAGCCAATATTCTCCCAAACTGTAGGGGGCAGCATGGAGCTCTACGGCATGCATCCAACACTACACCATAGTAGAAGTAAAAATTACTGTTTACAACATGGCATTCCAGCATTTTTAACAGCGTTCTCGTCTTTTACGACAGTGCGAGCTATTTCTCTCCAAGAATTATTAACAACATGTTGATCACGGTGATCTTTGAGAGCTGAATCATACAAATGTCTATATTTACGAACCTCTGCCATACTAGTTCTTGCCGGTCCGCCATGTTTTTCCGCACCCGACCGTCTGCGTGGTTAGAAATTTTCCTAGGTGCGTGTTGCGGAAATTTTGGGCCGTGCGGAGGCGCGGTAGAGGGGTGTGGTTGCTAAGATGACGCAAAGACGCAACTTAATATTAACGCGTCAAGCATAAACCAACCTTTAGCGTGTACAGTGACATGAAGTAGGCAATACGCCAACTTTTGCTTGTTAAGCTTGCCCTCTGTGCCGTACAGCCCCATACAACTTGAACTGAGCACACTCAGCTTTGGCCAATAGCATCAAGAGATATGTCTTAAAACATATTTTAAACAATAACGTGAGAATGATAACTATAAAACAATGTGCTTTAGCTCTTTTAGCTGCTTAGAGGAACGCCGAACGAGAGAGCCTTTGCTTCCAGCCGCAATCATGAAAGCAGGGGGAGGGGCTTAAGGTGTGATGTGTTTTCCCGCCTCCAGATGGCGTCCTCTGACAAGAATTCCAGATTTCTGCTTTAATATGGAGACAAACGACATTATTATTACATTTAAAGTAGACCATTCATACTAAAATAATTCAATGCAGAATAAACCAAAACAACGGCACATCTTCCTGTGATGGGGAAACTGATCTCAGATCAGCTCTGAGCCTTTTGGGCTTGACGCCCAGGATTTTTTTCTTGCTTGTTAAATCTTGCTCAGAAGCGGCAAAGCAGCACTTTCACTTCCTGTTTCACACATCAGCAGGGATCTGAAGCTTCATCCATTTAAAAACAACAGTTAGTAAGGAAAGACCACAGCTCTGGCTCCAAACCCGTTAGTCTCACACACCTAGTTTGTTTCTATAAGTCTGGTTTAACATCCTCTGCGGGGCTGGGGTGGTCCTGGAGGACTGGGCCCGATGCCCGAGGCTCTGTTTGGGATCACTGTGTCCATTCATGAGAACTTTTTGTGTTCTTGTGACAACGTTCAGGTGACGTTTAGCTTTCCGGTGGCTCTGCTCTCCATCACTGCTGTCTGAGATGCTGGACGAGCTCAGATCAGCAGAACTGTTCAGCGCTCGGGTTCCAGCTGCTCGGGTTTCCTCTGCACTGGAGTCACAGCTGGATTTCCTGGACACGGAGAAGGAATCGGAGGCTGTGATGGGTGGCTTTGTTTTCCTGGGTTTCTTGATGACTCCGGCGCTCCACTTGGATTTTCGGGCTTGTTTGTAACGTTTCTTCTTGGGTGAATTACCGTCACAGAAGCTGCCCCTTCCTCTCATCTGCTCTGTGATTAGAAGGTTTATGCACTTAAAAAGATTCAAAAACACACGAATGGATGTTTACAGCAGTTTCATGATCAGCTTACCTCGTGGTTCGGTGCTGCTTCTGGATGACGCCGAGCTGGAGACGCCATTGGTCTCAGTCCCGTACGACAACACTGTTATCAAAACACACACTTCAGACATCACACACTCTTATTTAGAACCAGAAGCAGCACATTTACGCTCGCTCTGCAGAATTCATTTTCTATATTTGATTTAGTTTTAAACAAAATTGGAAACCATTAGATTATTTTTACCGCTTTTCACACGAGACCCTCGGATTTCCTCACAGACTCTTTCTAATTCGTCCTCCTGCTCATCTCCGACCATCGCCCTCATGGCGTCCCTCAGGGCGCGTGCACGGAGACGGATTTGACGATCTGACGCAAACATATTAGAGTTTAGCATACATGCTAACATTAGCATGTTTCTGTTAAATAAAAGGAAAGTTCCAGCCTAATCTTTATTTTTTTTTACATCTAAATCAATCATTTCTGTTCATAATAAACAGCAGGATGAAAAATCAGTTTGATGATTAACCAAATTATTTAAAATTCACCAGTAAAAGTAAAGACTCCTCACGTGAGTGCGCCTGGATTGCCGAGGCTCACCTGCGGGATAGCTGTCCGGGTTGTATTCAAGAGCGTTCTGCCAAATCAGGTCGGCGTCTGACACGAACTCGCTGACGGTGGCGTATTTGTGTTCGTCGATGTTGCTCAGCAGCGTGGAGAGATCCATGGGCTTCTCGATGACAGTGAGGTAGTCTGGGACCTGGAGCAGCAAAAGCAGCCTAAACTCAATCTGAAACGTTCGTAAACCCAGATTACAGAAACAAATCATCCTCACACCTCCTCTGTGTCGACAGGTCTGGTGAAGACCTTAAATCGCTGGTCTAGGATCAGGCGCTGTGTGATGCTACGGAGGAGGAGGCGGAGCTTCCTAGGAGGGAGGAGCTTCGGCTGAGGTGAAAGTGGAGGAGGAGGAGGGAGCGGGAGCATCTCCGTGGCCTGAATCACTGATGGAGGAAGAAATTATGTAAATAATGAGCTTTCGGTGTTATCAGTAAGCAGAGTCACATACGTGTTTCCGTCTTCAAGGGAGGAGGCTCAACGGATTGGTTCAAAAGGAGGTCGTAGAAGAAGTCAGTTCTCTCCTGCCGGGTGGGAGGGGTCATGGGGTACACCTGACCATACTCCTCCCGGAACAAAAACTGAATCTGACAGGGAAAAAAACACAAGATGGTTAGAGTTTCTTCTTGTGGAGTGGCCGTACGAACGCTGGTCTGACCTCTGGGTCCAGCTGCTTATGGCGGGTGTTGCAGGTAGCGAGGAGGAGGATGGGAGAAAACGGGGGGATGCCGCCAAGCAAGCTGAGGAAGGAGGTTCGGAGCGCCGGTCCTGCCGTCTCCCACCACTGCTGGATGTGAGGGATGTAGAGGATGCTGGGAGACGTCCGTTTGGCCTCGGAGAACACCTGAGCAGGTGGGACACGAGTTGGAGCTTTTCTATTAAAACGTCTTATTTATTATTCCTGCTGCAGTTTCATGCTTTTTAATGTTGTTAGTTTTTTTTAATCACGTCTAAATTAAAAGATGATTAAATTATCACAGATGTAACCAAACAGATTCAACAGAATGTCATCTTCCAGTTTCGTCTGTGATGATTCCAGCTGCTCAGGTGATTTTAGTCTAAAGGACACACCTGAGCACAGGCTTCCTCTGGGGAGGTGCTGCTGACTCCAAACAGCACAGCAGAGTCCAGACTATGGATGGCTAGATGCTCCAGAGCGTGCAGAATGGCAGGGGCCAGGTGGGAAGTCTGAGCAGACTCAGGACGACCTGCCAGGAGCATCCGGGGACGGTGAGACGTCGGGTGTTTGACCGCACTCCTGCAGGAACCAGAGGAGCCGCACGAGGCACGTTAACAGACTCAAGGTCTAGGTCATCAAAGTCACAGATCACGATCACTTAGATATAAAGAGGAATGTTGAAGAAACTCACCTGACAAAGTGTAAAAAGGTTTTGTTTTTTCCTCCACCAACGCTGAAGCGGTCCTCTCCTCCACTCATCAGCCCGTCGTCAAGGACACCAGCAGTCAGATCTGACAGGCGCAGCGTTTTAAATCACACAATCTGACAGCTGTGGCTTCCTGTTTCCAGCTCGAACTCACCTGGTTCTCTTTTCCTCTTCACCCCCCGCTCGGCATGTGGAAACAGCCTCTGCAGAACCTGGAGGATGCTGTGGAGGGCGGCGCCCAGCAGGGGCTGAACGATGGGGGACAGCGGTCTGGCCGGGCAGGCGGCGGCGCGTTGAGAGGCCGGCTTCATTTTCCTCACAGCTGCCACGAAATCCCATCTGCTGACGGAGATGGAGGAGACGTCCAGCAGGAGTTTCTGGGAGGTGCCAAAGATTTGTGGGTAGCGCCGGCGCAGGGCGCACAGCGCCGCCTCGGTGCAGACCGCCCTGATGTCGGCGCCGCAGTAACCTGAGAGAGGGGATTCAGGCTGTTGCGTTAAAAAACAACAGAGTTGTAGCTAAAGGTGATGTGGAATCACGTACCGACACATTTCTCAGCCAGTTCCTCCAGAAAATCCTCAGATGGAGGCGGTTTCCACTGGCGGGTGTGGATTTTCAGGATCTCCTTACGAGACTTAAACATGAAAAATGACAAAGATCTAGAAGGGTGGTAATGAAGACTGTTAAAGCGAGAATGAAATTTCACCTCTCGGTCTGGAAGGCCAAATCGCAGCTCTCTATCAAAGCGCCCTGGACGCCGCAGCGCCGGGTCGATGGAGTCCAGCCGGTTAGTCGCTCCAATCACCACAACCTCACCCCGACAGTCCAGCCCGTCCATCAGGGAGAGAAGGGTGGAGACGATGGAGCTGCAGGATGGACCAAAACAAGTTGGTGATTATTTAAAGAGCAAGTCACCCCTTACAAGAAGCGTACTTCACTCCCACTTCATGTTTGAAAAATGCAACAAATACTGTTGCCTAGCAGACTGAGAGGGTGGAGCCACTACAAATACACACACTCACGACATTGTGACATCATAATCTACCAGTTTACATCATAGCATACCTCTTAGCCAATGGCGATGTCAGATTTAAATTCAAATGCAGTGAAGAGTTTTTACCTGACAACGGTACAACACTGACAGTTTCAGGCAGAAATTTTAAATTTTAACTAAAATGCACTAATGTGCAAAACTATTGACTACACGTGTCTGCAGCACGATTAGACACGCATTTATATAGTTTATCAGAAAAAAATAGTTTATTTGGGGGTGACTTGCTCTTTAAAATCACAAAAGAGAAGAGAGGGCAGCTGATTATGACACGACCTGTGGATATGTTCTTGTCTGCTGGATCGAACAGGAGCCAAACCATCAATCTCATCAAAGAAGATGATAGAAGGACGTTTGTCATACGCCTGGTGGAGGGACAAGAGGCACAAGTCAAGGGACAGATGATATCTTAAGAGTTTTACAAGTAATATTTCATCTTTTTCATATGTTTTATCTTCAGAAAACACACCGTAAGCATCAGTTTTAGTCTGATCCACACCAGACCACTAGGGGGCAGCGCGGTGACGTCAGATTCGCACAGTTACCTGTTCAAACATCAGCCGCAGCTGCCGCTCCGACTCCCCCACCCACTTGCTGAGGCAGTCGGCTCCCTTCCTCATGAAGAAAGACACCTTCCTGTTGCCATGACAACACTCGTTGGCCAACGCCCGAGCCACCAGGGTTTTCCCAGTTCCAGGAGGGCCGTAGAACAGACAACCCCTGGAGAAGAGCAGGTGTGATGAGTTCATAAGTCAGGTGTAAAAGTCGGCTTGCAGCCTGTGAGCCTCTGGGTCACCTGGGAGGCTGAATCTTAAAACTGTCAAAGAATTCTGGGTAGAGGAGCGGGAAGACGATCATCTCCTTCAGAGCAGAGATGTGACCCGACAGACCTCCAATGCTGTCAAAATCCACCTGAAGCCAGCGAGGAGGCAGAAACGAGTCATAGAAAATGTCTGAAACGTGTTTCAGTATTAAAATAAACACAGAAGATCAGATTTTGATTTTCTTAAACGTTGTAACTGACCGACTGGTCGATGGCCAGAGGATCGGTGTCGGCTAGAGCTGCTCCTGCAGCCATCTTGCTTCTGCGAGCGCTAACGAGCTCCCCGGTGCACACGCTGAGCGGGCGGTAGCTGTAGGCAGAATCAAGCGTGATCGATAGCAACGTAAGAGAAGGAAGACTGTAAATCTGTTTAAATGCTGCAGAATTAAAAGAAAATAAAGGCAAAGATCAACATTTTAGTCATGAATTCACCTACTGCTGAAGATTTAAGTGAGAGTTTTCAAGTCTGAGCTTAAATCAGTGGAAAATGACCCGAATCTGATGAATGGAAACTTTTCTACTTTGTATGTTTGCTGTTGAAATTCTTTGTTTGTTCTTTTACAAAAAAGAAGGTTTCTTCTTTAAGATCCATCCACTTTATTTATCTGGAAATCTAAATTTTGAGTCAGATTTTTTGTCACACCCGTTTTTGTCAAACTCCCGAGTGAAGAAATGACCTTTCCTGACCTTCTGGAGGTGTTTTCATCTTCAGAGTCAGATTCATCCTTATCAGGCTTGGTGGTGGGTCTGGTGGAAGGAATAAAAGGTTAGCGATAGCATCTTAGCCTGATGGGTGAGTTTGTTTCCTACTCAGCTTAAAGTGGAAATGAAACGCTAACACCAGTCTGACCTGAAGGCTCTCTCACGGCTCTTGTTCGGTGCAGAGGTTCTGGTGTGGAAGGTTCCTGATTAAAATTTAAAAATAGATATTTAATTATACACCAAAAAGTTCTCCTTGTAATGAACTTGATCTGCCATGAGGAGAAATCACAAGATCACCGTCAGAGTCTCTGACGGGGCTAGAGCAGGCATGTCCAAAGTTTGGCCCTCTTAGTCATTTTGTACGGCCCCACTGGAGTTTCTACAAAGATGAATTTTTTCTCTCCAATAGGATGTTGATAGCCTGACCAGCCAGCCCCATGGCTCTGGGAACTCTCCTATTAAAATAACCCCACCCCCTGAGAATTCTAACCGAGCCAATCAGCGCTGAGCCGCTTACGTCACACACCGCAACGCTCATAAACAACAAAGATGGCGCCTGAAGCAGAGTTTGCTGCTGCTCATGTCTGCGTCATCCTAGACGCCATTTTTGACAACAGCTAAAAAATTACCATCAAGTGATGCAGTCGGCATTTACGCCTTTTTTTCTGATTGGTTACTTTTGAGCTGGCGAGTCCCGCCCCTCATGTGCCTCTCTGCCCGTGTTGATATATGTCATGGTCTGCCCCCTCCTTTTTGTGCCTCCTGGTGTCCTCCATCCCACTCTAGATTCCCTTTTGTGTCTCATAGCGCCCTCATGTGTCCTTGTCTTCGTCTCAGTCTTGTGCCTTATGTGGTAACCGGTACAATTATTCCTCCCAGGTCCCGTGTCATCTCATTCCTCCCCAGCCCCTCCAGGTCTTCATTTTCTGTGTCCTTGTAGCCCCCAGGCTCTCAGTCCCCTGCTCTGTGTGTGTGTGTGTGTGTGTGTGTGTGTGTGTGTGTGTGTGTGTGTGTGTGTGTGTGTGTGTGTGTGTGTGTGTGTGTGTGTGTGTACTTCCCTCAGTCTCTAGGTTTAAATTTTGTATTTTAGGTTTATCTGCCCTTCTCTGTTCTGTTTCCCCATTTAGATTATTATTGTCACCTGCCTTCCCTCCAGCAGCTCACTCCGCACACCTGCTGCCTGTTTTCCTGATTGCCCCTCCCAGTCTATTTAAGCCCTGTCTTGTCTTTGTCTTGTGTCGGTCCATTAATGTTTGTTGATTCTGTCAGTTTAGTCCCTCTGTGTTTAACCAGAGTTTCTTGATCCCCAGATAAGAATCTGCTTTTTGACCTTTTGGATTTTTGGCTTTTTGGATTTTGACTCCCAGTTTGGATTACCTTGGTTTTTGGCTCACCCACAAAATAAAGACTTTTCACTTAAAATCTTCATCCCTGCCTCCGTCTCATCCTGGGTACTGCATTTTAGGTCCACACCACCATATCGTGACAGATATAGTTCGCCACTCTCTAGCATGTTTATGTTCAGATATTTACTCATAGGCCTATTTGGGATTTATTTAGAAGAGTAAAAATTTATAATTAATTATACAAAATAATATTTGCATTTTTTAAATGAACAAAATCAGATTCCTGGGCCCCCGTTGAATTCAAACATGACTTTTTTGGCCCTCGTCTTGAAAGGTTTGGACCTCCCTGGACTAACGTGTCTTATTCTGAATCACAAAGGAGACGGCTGAGAATATAAATGTCTCTCTCGACTGAGTCTATTAATGCTCGTAAACCATGAGGAAATGTGGATTAATGTGCACATTTGTCTGAATTTCTGGTGTTGGGAAGGTAAAAGCCGTCCTCTACGTAGTATCTGTAGAAGTGTGCTGCTGTACTGACTGCTGTTGGCTGCTGTGTGGCGCGATGAGGCTGGGTTTGGTTTGGTATTAAAGTTCTGGTTCATGCTGCCGGTACTGTCTTCATCCGCAGCCGTCCCGAGTCCGCTGTCGTCATCATCCTCTGTACCAGAAACACCAGAAGAAGAAATGAGTGATTTAGTTTTTTCATACACATTCCTGCTTTTAGTTTGTACGAACCGCTGTCGTCCTCGCTGTCCCTGAGCGTCCTCTCAGGTCCCGGTGGACGTCTCCGCTGGGGTTTAGTCTTCTGAAAATTCACCAGACATAACAAAAAAGAATTAAAAGTTCTCTAGGGCTCATCGTTGAGAGAGAGGGGTCCATTGAGATGTTTTTATTTTTATTTTTGGGAGAAGTGGGAAACATGAAACGAACAAAGAGGAATTTTTATGGGAAAACTCAGACATTTGCTGTTTTAGCCTCTCGTCACAAGAAAACAAAACATTTCAGGAAGTTATTATTTAAAAAGGCAGATGTATTGTTATCAGAACATCTGATTAACGTAGATGTAGTTAGATTCAGGCTCAGCCTCCTGCAGGACGGAAGTCAAAGATCAAGATGAGACTTTTGATTTTAGGCATGGCTCTTCCACATCTTTCCACTGTTTGGTTTACTTCATTCAGCCTGAGACAAACTAAAATAGGGCCTTAGTTTCTAGGAAATCTGCCTTATAACTAACATTTAAACCATTTGAAACTTCTAAACGTTTCATAACTCAAACATAAACAAGAGCTGCTCCTCCAGCTTTCAGCTGGCACCAGCTGATAGAGATGTCGCCCCCTTCCCTTCAGCTGCGAGCAGAGGGAGACGGTCGGAGATAGATGGGTGCACCGCCTTCTCCGTCAGCTGATAAGGGAGGGTGCACACCCTGTCTGAGCCGGGGCTTTAAACCCGACTGCAAAAATATAAACATAACATGTAAACGAGGTAAAAAACAGCTGATCCCAGACGCCTGGCGGTGGTACTAACTCTGTTGCTGCTGACGAGCCTCTTCCTCTTCTTCTCGTTGATCTTCTTCTGCATCGACTTTGATAAGCTGCACAGAAAAGTGTTATTAAATGTAAAAAAACATGACGGATGAGTTTATCAACAAGGATTTAAAACGTGTTTTGTTTCATTTATTCTGCAATTTAACAAAAGTTTCGTTCTTTTTCATTTTTAAGTGAAGAAAACACCCACAAGCGTGTTTAACTTCACTTATAAACTTCATTATTTGTGTTGAAACTGGATAAATTCAACAGCTGTTAATATGTGGTTGTTTTGTTCATTATTAGGTGTGGGTGTTGGCAAGAATCTAGAAATACATCATATATACTGCAATAATAGAGGATATTTGTAATTTTTAAGACTGAACTTAATCAGAAAACTCAAACGAGATGCCTCCGAGACACACGCAGCGTTACGGCGAGATCTTGTTCTGTCGGAATGAAGGCTGCCACCTAGCAGTCGGAGATTGAATTGCAGCAAACTAAAGAAATAACGTTAACGTTTACATGTAAATTCTCGCTAAAAAAATGATACACTGTTTTTAAGTATCGATTTTGTATCGAAACACAAAATATCGCGATATTTCAATGTATCGATCATTTTTTACATCCCTGTTTATTTATAAGGACTAGAAATAACAGCATGAAGACAGAATAAAACCTGACTGGTGACTCATTTGGATCATTTTACGTATTTTAAGTGTCTTACTTGTTGGAAGCCTGATATTTGCTGATCAGCTTGGGTGACCTGGAGCTTTTCCTCGGCCGACTCCTCTTCCCACCTGGGAGGAAAGCAGTCATACATATATATCACGCTTTTTACATTTTTCTTTCATTCTCTCACACTTAGCTTGAGATTTTAATGTTTTCTTACCTGAAGTCTCCTGAATCTTTGCAGATTTCCTGTTGACAGAAAAGACAAACCTCAGCGTGATGACACTGATCAGATCCAGATTCATCCTGGAAGTCATCGATGGGATTTCAGAACCAGAAGCTCGTGAGATTCATAAGAAAGTTTTTTAAAACACTCCCATAAAACTGAGCTTTCTGAGGATAATGACGTCCTCTTAGCTTCCTTTAACTATGTCCTTATGCTGCTCCTGGTGAAGGTCATGATGTCATGAAGAAGGAAAGAACAAGATCACAAATACAGGAAGCCAGAATAATTTTCCTTAGCAGGAAACATCCATAAAAGGAGAGTCAGGATGCTTCAGGTACGGAACACCTGGTGTGTCCCACCAGCCACCTCCACCAGGGGCTAATGGAGGTGGCTGAGGAGAAGACAGTTTGGTCTCGTCTTCATAATTACCAAATTTCTTTGAAATTTCAATAATGATACATTTAACATAATGTTTATGATAAAAAAGATGAACAGATTATATAAATATTAGAAAACAGATCCTGTCCTCTAAGATATCGAATATCTCAGAGATTGTCTTGGACTTCTATGGTTTACAACAAATTATGAGTCTTTTCTGACCTGATGATGCTCTTTGCTCGTTTTGCACCTTTATCCTTACGTTTGCCTTTCTTGGCGGAAAATCCCTGAAAGAAAATTTCACAGGTTCGTAATTAACAGGAAATAAGTGTCACAGCAGCACATGCACCCATTTTGTGTTATATAATAAATAAACATAAGCTTAAAATGCATAAAATAAGGGAAATCGCATAACATTAATATCTAAAAAGATAAACGATGACCAACGATACCCAAAAATGTTTGATGTTGTAAGTAAACAGGGTGATAAGGGGCTACAACTCAGAGAGCAAAGGAATTACTAAAAAAGTCTAAAGTATTTCCTTATATCTTGTACCTGAAAAAGGCCGGGGGGGGGGGGGGGGGGGGGGGCGCATTTAAGGGTCTAATACTGGAGTAAAAATGTGAAACAGCACATTAATATTATTAATAATGATAGTAAACATAAGTTGTGCTTAAAAACCTAAAATACACATATACAGATTTACAATATATCATTTTATAAAACATTTATAAAAAATACATGATAGAATAATATTTGCTAATGAATATTTCTGATCCACATGTTGTCTCATTATTTCCTACTTCATAACCTATATTTGTGTGTTTTTACATCATGTTATTACCTGTTAATAAAGGTAGATTTGGTGTTTATTTGTATCTTCCACACCAGCATACTTACACCGGAAGTCTTGGTCCGGGACACGGCGCTCTTGTGTCGCTTCTCCGGTCGGACGCGGGTCTTGGAGCCGGTCTTTGACCCGGACCGCTTCTTAAGCGGCTCTTTTTTCCTCCGAACTGCATCCGTTTTGCCTTTCCCGCGGTTCGTAACCATGGTGACCGCCGATGGTTTCAGAGGTTTTCACAGCATTTAAAACGGGAAACCAACATGATCACCTCCGGGTTTGCACGGTCGTTCTGCTGAGACGAGCCTCCTCCTGCTCCGTGAGTCGAGAGGAGGCTTTCAAACTCATCTTGATAAACGACCGGACGCAAAAAGTTGCGTCACACCTGCTAAACCCAGATTTTTGCCACTGTGTACGTCACACCGTGCCATAAAAAATTTAAGTTTTTATTTTACACTGACACTCTTAGCAATGAAAATAAAGGTCTTTATGCCTTTAAAAATGAAGCAAATAAACGAATGGCTTCTGTTCTTGTTTTTTAACTCTGACATTTCCTCAAAGAACTGTTTGTCTTAATTACTTAGGATGTTCTTAAAATATTATAGTGATCTCAAGAGGAGTTACAACCATAACTGGAGATATAGAACAAGGGTATTTGTGGAATATAATTAAACCACTAACTTATATATTTTTCGCACTTTAGTTTTTATTTTGGGAGGGGATCATTGGCTTTAAGGTAAATGACGAAAAAGTGATACTAAGGCAGGTTTAATTTCTTAAAGAAAAAAAATGGTTGCAGTATTTATGGAAGTCCCTTCCCACCACTCTGATAAAAAAAAGTATCTCATAATTATGACTTAGCTATCTCACTATCGGTGTTTCTCTGAGCCAAGGCACTTTGTCTTGATGTTTTGGCCCCGCCCCGGTTGCCTAGGAGATACGTCGTCAGGAACGTTTCCCAATGTTCATGTTCTACCCATCGACATTAATATATGGACAATGGGTTTCCATAGACTCCAATATCACTTTTTTGAGCCCAAATGGGAGGTGGCCACCACCGCCATTTTGACCGTGTCACAGGTTCCGTCAAGCCCAGACAATTCCATAAAAGGGAAGAGAGGAGGAGCTGAGGGTGGGGCTGTAAGGCTGGGATCGACTGACGACACCTGGTCGAACTAGCTACAAGCTAACCTGAAGCTAACCCTGGCTAACCCAAAGCTAACGCGGAGGTGGGAGCTAAGCTAACGGAGGTAGCAACCTAGCTACAACCGGAGTTAACTGTGCACAACACCAGAGCTTCTGAGTCAGAGATACGCCGGGCTGACCGCTGGGTAAAACTGGGTGGAACACAGAGGTCTCCGAGACCTCCACAAGCTGGCAGCCGCACAGCAGACAAGTGCAGTTGCGGTCTGAGATGCGCAGAGCTGCCGCTGGGGAGAACCGGGTGCAAAGGTTTCCATCTCAGAGCTCCACAAGCCGGCAGCCCGCGCAGCAGACAGAAGCCGCGAAGCCAGGGGAGAAACTGGTGGAAAACAGAGGTCTCCCGAGAGCTCCACAAGCCGATAGTTGGAACCCAGCTCCACCAACATGTTATATTTCAACCCATTTTCTAAAGTGCAGCATTATGTTAAATGCACTGGGTTTTACCCTATTACATTTAAATTTCATGGTTAAACAGTACATGTTAAAATCTAAGCTCAGCTCAGCAGTGACCTAAAATACATAAATATAATTTTACTTACCGAAAAAAATGAAGTGGAGACTCCTTGGACACTCTATTAGTGCAATTAATGCCACAGCAAGTCATTTTGTCCAACAATTGCACAAATAATATCCAAAAAAGAATACACAAACACAGAGACTCAAAATCCCGGAACAGTTTCCAAGCCAGACCGAGGCTGTACTGTACTAGCTAGCTCTGTGGTCACGTGGGTCTGATGCTCATTAATTATACAGAATTTTAGGCTTTTAATACACTTAAACAGAAGAGTGAGAAAAAAAATTCACCCCCTCAGAGTTGTCATGAGTGTAAACTAGATCATTTAAACAAAAACATGTTTTGGTACCAGGCTGTAAACATGTTTATTTCTGCTGTGAAATTGGTATTTTTAACATGGGAGTCAATGAGGATTTGCTTGCTTCTGACACCAGCCCCCAGCGGATGAGGGTGGAACTGCAAGTTTTGGTACTTCCGGGTTTGACTCAATTTTAGAGCTCCATTGTTGGGGCTTGGGTTCTACCGAGGTGTCTGTTCTCTGTTTGTTAGCCGTTTAGCTAGCTGAGGAAGGATACACGGGAGGTGTCTTGTAGGCTAGCCTTGGTCAAAAATTATCCAGAATACACCGCGGTATTTTCAAAAGGATGGCAGATCAGAAGCCGGCAGCTACTTCGGAGGCAAATTTCAAGTTTAAATATAAGTAAATGAATCTAAAATGTTTTTTTTTTTATTCAAAGAAGTTATCTGTGGTTGGTTAGTTGCTTATAACTTGCTGCTCAGTTGGCTAGCGGGTAGTAACTCACCTATATATTTAATTTAATAAACATATACACAATTTAAAAAGTAAAAGTCTTGTTATATATTTATATTGAAACTTCTACTATAAAACAACGTTATCTCCCATGTCACATGACGTTACGTGACTGCCGCGGTCACGTGATGCAAGTCTGTTCCACTTAACCATTTTCTTTGACCAATGAAGGACAGTGTCCTCATAAGCAAGGCGCCCGTCCTCGCAAGACATCACATCGCAAGGCCAGATGCTTTGACATTGTGAAACACTCTTTTTTTAAAGAACTTTTATGGAACCTTTGCAAAATGAACAAAAGCGACTACATTTCAAAATTTGTAAGCAGAATGACATTACAGAGTAGCTCTGAAGTTCGTGTTCATCTCAACTTGCATTTTGTAGATACAATTCAACTTGGTATAGTAAGAAGACAATAAACAAAAAATAAATAAATAAAATAAAATAAAAATAAAAATAGAACATGAAAGGATACAAGTAAGACAGCATGAAAAAACAAATTATGTGTATATAAATAAAATTTTACAAGGGGGAAGTTAAAGAGCAAACAAGGTCTTTTGTGTATGCCATCCAAAAAGTGGTTAGAGATTAGTGTTCATAATGAAATTATAAAGCTTTATAGCATTGGGGGTGGACATTTTACTTAAGGATCATTGTGAAACACTCTATATTATGAAATACAATCTGTTGTGCCTACCACTAGGGGGCAGTCGATGATAAGAGAAGTAGGAAAGAGAGGGATGAAGGACATGAAAGAATGAACATGGATGCAGGCTCAAATAAAGCTTGAAAAAGGAATTCTTGCCTACTTGTGCTACTTTCTAATATGACAGCTGACCATAACACTATCGTAATTATGATTCAACTATCTCAAATTTATGAGCTTCTCATAAAAACAAGATTCTACAGCAAAATATTTTTGGAAGCTCCACAAATCATGGAAATATTGACATAAAACCTCATTCCAGAGTTCATGGATGATGATTTAGATAGTTGTAGCAGTCTTTGTGGGAGAGTTTTCCCAAAATGATCCATAGATTTTGGATGATACTCTGCCACGGTCACAACAAACCTTTTTTTTTTTTTTTTTTGCAAATGCATTTGTTCAGACAGGTACTTCTTGGACTCATGTCACGCTTCTATAATAAACTTCTAGAAAGTAACTTCAGAATATCCTGCCTGATGGAAAATCTGAGATGAGATGATGATGGAGGATGATGGTGGTCAAATCAATCGGTCGGGAAAAGGAAAAGAGCAGGCTGGTAAAAAAGAACAGTTTTATTTGGATAATGGCCGGTGGGATGACATGACAGTAAGATAACACGAGGATCTGACACAAAGAGGGTTTACATACTTGAGGGTAATCAGGGAAACAGGTGGGTAGCAGGGGTGGACTGGCCTTCTGGCACTGTCCCGGTGGGCCGCTTAGCCAAGTGGGCTGCTTGCCCAGCTTGGGCCGACACTACTCCACAGTTGGTGATCTGCAGAACATTAGCTACATGGTAATCTGAAGCTAACAGTTTTTTGAGGCATTTTTAGCAAGAAAAACGTGGTAGAGCAATGACGTAGTAGTTGTTTTGCCGCGTTAGCATGTAGCTAATGTCCCGCTGATCTCTGCCTGTGGAGAATGAGCTGATCTGGAAGGCCAGGGATCCCGGTTACAGCGGTCTGCCCTGCTTGTAATTTAACAGTCCCAGTCCATATTAAACCTCACATTCGGCCTAGAGACGAGTCCGCGGGCGGCAACACCCCCCACCCCCACCGCTCTCCCAATGAGGAGGGCCAAGATTCACAGAAAGGCCAGGGCCAAATTTTGGCCCTAGTCCACCCCTGGTGGGTAGGGTAATGAGGGGCAGGTGAGTCCAATCAACACTTAACGAGAGGAGATGAGACACGGGGCTGCAGGACGAGATTCTGACAGCGAGTGACCCTCGTCATATTAGAGAAAGCTGCCTTTGGACACGTAAAAAGTCACATGGTGGGTATTTTCTTCAGTACGTGCCTGAGCTGGCTTTCTCTTACCAAATGAATAGATTAATTACCTAATGAATAATTGCTATCCACAAAGTTCTCATTAAAATGTGTGTTAAAAGGTCATAACATGCTAAAGAAATAAAACAGAAATCTTCTGGTAAGTTGGTTTGATTGTTAATAAAAACAGCAATCCTACCATTATCTTTAGGAGTATATCATTCACAAACACCACCAGGCATTATAATCTGGATTACAGATGATGCAAATAGTATCAATTTGTACAATGTAGCGTCTATAACTTCATACTAGAATCAACACTGTTTGCAGTTAACAATGAAGCTTCTATTATATATAAATATCTACGATATTATATATCCGATAGAAGTTCATGTGCCAACGAGCTTGGTCTATTTTTAATCCAGAGATTAATGTTTAATTTAAGATAATTAAATTTAATAGCAAAAGTTTATTTATTTAATCAGAAGTTAAAGGAATCTTTGCCTTTTCAATAACCAGAAATACACACCATTCTGTGTTTAATTTCAAGAAGAGAGTCAAGTTTTTAAAGTTAAGAATTTATTACTAACACTTTAAAAAAAATGACAATTCAGAAATGACAATTTTCTTAACAGACAATTTGATATTAAACTTGTTTTAAAGGCAAACCTGTGACTGAATGAAAGCTAAAATGGAAGTGAGAGTTTTGGATGTGTGAATGAATATCAGAAGGTTTCTTTCAGAGAGAGAAGCACGTTCTGGGTTGGAAATGATGGTTTTGCAGCTAACTGGGTCGTTTCTTATGAAGAACAGCATCAAACACAATCTGTCAGAATGTCTACCTCACCCAGTATAGGAGACCCTCTTCTGGATCCGAGATGTCAGGTGGAGATGGTTTCCTCCAGGCACGAGGTTGGTAGAATGACCTTAGTGCGACCAAATCGGTCCTGAGAGGTCTCCTTGGGTCACTCGACTGGTGGAACTATTTGCGTCACAAAATCAATAACTCTGAAGGAGTTTTGCGTCAGCTGGTTATCGTTGCGTTTATTCAGGGCAATTCTATCAGCGTGACAGAATGCTTAGTAGAGATTCGGGCGGCCGTTCCCTCGTCTCCTCGTACGGTTCAAGAACTGAACTTTTGCTGCTGGAATTCGATTTTAACAAAACCCTCAGAACACGCCCTCTCAGCATCAGAAAGCTTGGTCGTGAGTAAAAGACGTGATGATTTTACCCTTTACCCTGGATATCCCTTCTGAATGAGGCTGGTTACGTGCGAGATGACCTTCTGGTTTGCTGAACACCATAACCGATTATCAACCATGATCATAATTATACCCAAAGCATAATAAGTCATTTCAGTAATTAAAATACATTTATACTGAACCAAGAGATTATTTATGATGATTGTAATACCAGTAATAAAGTCAAAAGTTTATTAAAATTATTATTTAAAATTATTATTGTGAAACTTGAAGATGATTTCCAGCAGACATCATGGCTCCTGGCATGTTTAATCTGTGGGGCAAAGTTACAGTCGACCCAGCTTGACCCAGCTGGGAAAATGTGACCTTTGTCACAAATTAGAGGCCATTCATGACGCTACAACAACACTGATCATTTTAAATATCTAAGAGAAGTAGCACATTCATTATATTTCTTAAAGCCTTTTCACAACCCATGGCACCGTTTATTCCAAAGAGTAAAAGTTGTAATACAGAATATTAGTGTTAAAAAAGCCTGGAGTAAAAATTGTAATGACAAAAACAGCAAAAGTATAAAAAATACAGAATAGAAACTATTATCATTGTGTTTCATTTCAATAGATGTTTGTAAAATACACGCCAAGAAAAAAAAAGTCACATGAAAGTTTATTCTTCTGTTTAAATTCCAGGTCGATGTTTGTATGAATGTGCTGAATTGTGTGACAATTTTTCTGTCACTCCAGCAGCAAAACATTCATGCGTTATTGTCTGTATCCTTCATCCACTTAATCTGAGGACTTTCCTCAAGTTTTACATGTAATACGCCTCTAAAACAGCACCATCTTCAAGTGCTTTTATTGTTACATGTTGAACTTACATCACAGGAATAAATCATCTTATTACAATAAGATAAACTCTTGTTTTCATACCTTTCATCACATTCCTTCAATTAATGTATCACAATTATTCTTCAACGTTTCCTTTTTTACTCAGTTCCTTCATCACACCCTCAGTTTGAAGAAACAGGTAGGATGGGAGGTCAGACGTGGATCCAGACCTCAGGTCTAACAGACACCGTCACCTGTGGAGATTTAGTGTTGTTAAAGAGCAAGTCACCCCCTATCAGAGTATTACTCCACTCCCACTTCCTGTTTGAAAAATGCAACAAGTGCTCTGGCCTAGCGGACCAAGAGGGCAGAGCCACTAACAAATACACACACACACACACACACACACACACACACACACACACACACACACACACACACACACACACACACACACACACACACACACACACACACACAGGCTCACAACAACATTGTGACATCATATGGTACTAGGGCTGCTCGATTATGGCAAAAATAATAATCACGATTATTGTGACTGAAATTGAGATCTCGATTATTTAAGACGATTTTTCAATTTATGTTGATTTTATTTGTTTTTATTCAGCATAAAATTGCTCAGGGCACAATTAGGACAAAAATAAATAAGAAACAAGATGATCACTAAAATAACTCCTGATTCCGAGTATAGAAAGACCTATATACTTATAGCTCATAGTTTATGGCCCAAGGGCTATAGACCTTGGTTTAACTCATTTAAGTCTAACCAGTACAGACCCAAATACCAATATCTTGCAAATACTGACAACAAGAATTATACAGTGGCATTTATAACAAATAAACGCAAATAAATTGATGTTCACAAAATGTTGCATAACATTTATTGAGTCGTGTCAAGGTGCTGTAGGAGAGTGCACTAGCACCGTGTCCTCAGAGAGATTATTTATCAGCGTGAGGAACTTATTTCTACCTTATTTATAAACTATTTATTTACAAGTCGTCCATCAGTTAATGTAATAATTGTCCCAACCACAGCTGCACCCCCCACACCCCAACCCGGTCTCAGCAATCGGGGCAAGCTGCACGTGTGTTTAGCACGCCGCACGCGCACATTTAGCGGTTTTTAGCGGCTCAGGAGCCCGCAGGTACGGCGTGTGTGTCACTCACTCTGGTTAATCCAACAGGGAGCCGGCTCCGAGAACGGTTTCTTTAGCGACCGACACATCACTACATCATTCCCTTTCCTAATGCCCTGAAGAACGGTCTGGAGCGCAGGCGGAGTGTTTAGCTAACCTGCAGGAAATGTCGACGACAATTATCCAGAAAGTAGCTAAGGGTTACCAGAAATGTTTCTGAGGTGTTCGCTAGGTACTTTTACAATTTAAAAAGTCATGAAGGGGGTCTGAAAAGCTGCTGAAATAGCGTCAAAGTCGCTAAGTTGGCAACACTGTGGGAGGAGCGCTTCATTTGCAACTCGGGGCAGCGCAAGTGGGAGGAGCAAATAATCGGCTTGTTTAGTTTTTATAATCATTCAAAACTCAGATCGTAATCGTGATTAAAATTCAATTAATTAAGCAGCCCTATATGGTACCAGCTAACGTTCTAGGGTACCTCTTAGCCAATAGCGTTGGCAGATTTAAATTCAACTGCAGTGCAGAGTTTTTACCTGACAACGGCACAACACTGACAGTTTTAGGCAGAAAATTACAATTTTAACTAAAATGCACGAAAGTGCAAAACTATTGACTACACGTGTCTGCAGCACGATTAGACACGCATTTATATAGTTTATCAGAAAAAAAGTTGATTTGGGGGGTGACTTGCTCTTTAAATTCATAGGAGCCACAAAACTTTCACTTTTTAACGTGTCTTGTTTTACTAAAAACTGCTGCAGTTGTGTAAAATATGCTATAAATCTACATGCAGGTAGGTTTCGTTTATTTTTTCTAAACTACTAATTGTGTCTAATGAATCTAAACATGAGGGATGAAAATCCTCATTTTCACGAGCAGAGTTGTCAGACGACTCCTCTGATTTTGTAGTTGAGCTGTTAAATTGCTTTAAATTTAAACTGTATTGTATTCCCTTCAGTAAAACTGTGTCTTATTGCATGTACAGAACAATCGTAACAAATTATACAATAATAGTTTGTGAACCCACAGATTTACTTACCTTCTACATCAACATGTGAAGAATCATCTGAAGAACCTGTTAATAAGAGCAGAGTTAACACATATTCACTGGTCTACCGTTTTGTATTGAAATACTTCATCAAAAAGTAAAAAAAATGTTCACAGTCTAGTGACCACTTATACACAAACTGGAAATCTTCAGTTTAAAGATAGTCTTCATCAAAACATTAATTAAAAGGATGCTCAAACAGAGCATCAGTTCCAATTTGATGTAAATATATGTAAATTTGGTGTAATGTGGTGCAAAAATGATACTCTCGTGCGTAAGAAAACCTTTTTTTTTTGTGACTGAATGAGAAAGCAGAAATACATAGAAAGTTTGGATGGAGGTGACTGAATGAATAATTACTCCCCACCGGTGTACTCACTTTTCACATTAGTAAGAGAAGAAGCTGGAGAAGTTTTCTGAGATGAGTCTGGAGATGAATCTGAAGAACCTGTTAATGACAGAGTTAACACATTTGCTGACGTACCCCAGTGTATTGAAATGCTTCATTGACGTTGGGTGGGGAAAAAAAAAATCAAAGTAAAAAATAAATAAAAGAACATAAGAATCGGCAAAAGTCAACAGAGTACATCCACATAGGGATTAAGGGATTAAAGGACAAGGTTTGGAAAAGACAAAAAAATTAACTAAGGCCTAGTCCACACGTAGCCGGGGTTTTTAAAAAACAAATATCCGCCCCTTCAAAAACTTGCATCCACACCACCGCGTTTTAAAAACAAACTCTGTCCACACGTACCCAGATAAATACGTTGTTAAGGACATGCCAGACCTGTAGGCGGCAGTACTTCCCCCGTTCTTAACCTCATCCTTCGTCTGTGGTCTTCCGCAAGGATCAGTAATTCTGCTTGCAAAAACAAGCAGAAAGCGCTTGGACAATTGATGGATCGGGTAGTGACAGAGCGCAGCTCTGAGGGCTTCCATGCTGTCGGCTAGTGTAAACACAGGTCGCACACGTGATGTCAGCATTTTTGTGTCGCGGAAAGTGACGTTGCGGACCTTAAAACTCCGGTTTTGTCTGTCCACACGCAGACACCCAAAACGGAGAAAACACAGATCTTCACTTTGGCCGGAGTTTTTAAAAAGATCCGTTTTCGTGTGAAAAAACTCCGTTTTCGTGTGGATGACAGGCCAAAACGTAGAAAAATATCTACGTTTTGGCAGATCCCTGGCTACGTGTGGACAGGGCCTCAAAGTCATTTATCATAGTGACCTAATTATGTTATCCTATCCTACAAATTGGAAAATGTTACTGTAATGATACTTCATTAAGTATATATATATATATATATATATATATATATATATATATGGTATGGAACACTATGGGTACTTGTTTCTCTGTACTGTTTATAATAAAACTGTTGGTGTAATGCGGAGAATGTCAACTGAAATGTGGAGAACAGTTTAATCCTGGTTACAAACCAGTTTGCCTCATAATGATTCACAGTTCTACCGTTCAATATGATCTTTGGGCAAAACCCATAATAATGCCGTTGATCAACTTACTGCCGAGGCAGATGGTTCACCTGAGGGTGTGTCTTTCATTACCTAACCCTTCTGGTGTTTACTCATGCTCTACCTCATAAAGTGCAAAGGCAGCAAACAAGTCTAGTGTTTTAGCGTTTGTACAGCTGCAGAAGAACCTTGAGGAACGCTATAATAATATTAATATTTTCAACTATTATCAATGTTTGTGTTCTCTTACAGGAAATAATAATAATTATTATTATTTTAAAAGACTGGATAATACTAAAAGTCACTTACTTTCAATCAAGGCCTTCTTCTCATCATCAGGCTTTGGATTGTTGGCTGTTCCGTTCACACACAAAAACACCAAGACAAGTAAACATTATCCATGTGTGTCGTCTGCTTTTAAACGTACATTCAGATCTGATGAGAAAACATCTACCTTTGTCTTTAGATGAGGTGTTAACATCTGGACAAACTCAAAGCAAAACCCACAAATGGTTAGAATTGTCATGATTGTTACATCATTGCATTTTTTTACTTGTGCCTTTTTTTCCTGGCAAGCCATGTTGAGTTTCAGTCATAATTACAATTATTCCAAAAGTTCATCAAATCAATAGCAGACAAATAACAGGAGTGTTTAAAGTCCTACAATATAAAACTATTTTTTAGCTGAATGCTCAAGATTAGGTGTTACAGTAAGGGCACAACTGCCTTGGAGCTAGAAGGTTCCAGATTCAAATACTAGCTGCAGCCTTTCTGAGTGCAGGTTGCGTATTCTCAACATGCAGGCATGCATTTTCTCTGGGTACTCCAGTTACCCCGACACACAGGCAAAGAAAAACATGCACGTTCAGGTTAACTGGAGACTAGACTGTTCTGAGGAGTTTGGTTGTCCCTGATTGTCCTTGTGGTGGACTAAAGACCTGTACCAGGGTGTCGCATGCCTCTCACCTACTGGAGTCAGGAACCAGCTCCCCTTTTCTGACTTTAGTCCAGATTAAGTGCTACAGAAGATAAATGAATGAATCAACATAACAGTTTCCAAAACATATAGGTGTACTTACTTCGCATATTGACAAGAGAAGAAGCTGGAGAGGGATCTGGAGAACTATCTGTAGAGGATTCTGGATAACCCATTAATGACAGAGTTAACACTTATACAGACAAACTATGTGTGTTAAAAATAAAATAATAAAATAAAGCAGAAAAATAACATTAGGAACTGTCCATATTCAAGAGTACTTACGACTCTTCCCATTACAACCTGTCAAGAGAGACAACAAATGAAATACATTTTTTACATTCACATGACCAGTTAAAAAAAAAACATTGAAAACTTTTATTTAATGAGACTAAAACATGTATTAAAATTATGCCAGTACACAGGATCCAGTCCAATTTGGTAAACATGATGTAATGTGGCATAAGCATGTGAGATTCTCATACAAAAAAACACGAAAGTTAAATTTTCCTTCAATTTGTGAACAAAAACTATGTTTGGTGAAACAGAAAATATGTGTGTAAATCATTTTAATCCAAGACTCTAATCGCACTGGTAAAAATCCCATTTATCTCATAGTGATTTACAGTTCCACCCTTCAATGCGATCTTTGATCACCTCATAATAACCCGTAATAAACTTTTGCACCTCATAACAAACAGTTTTATATTTTAACTTTGTACCGTTGTAAAGGAACCTTTTAGGTACTCAACAATTACTTTATATTCAGATATTACCAATGTTTGTGTTTGCTTACATGATATGGCAAAACAATAGTAACTTACGGTCTCTGCACTCCTTCCTTCTATAAAGGACGAATCCCACAATGGCTCCGATAACCACAAAGCTTGCTACAACAACAACAGCGATGATAATGGGTGTGCTGCCATCCTCCACAGGCAGAGTGTGATCTAAACAAAAGAAAATATAGAGTTTTAGTTTAATTTTCTGATCTCTTTCAGCCTTGTGTAATTTAACTTTATTAATCTTGCCTCTAAAAATCTATCTTCTTCTGGCACTCGAAGACTACAGAGCGCTTCTCTGCATTCCTCCTAAAACTATTTTTATTAATCATGGATTTGATGAACTAGTTATTCAAGGCGATCGACAAGATTTTTTCAACTATGAAAATGGAGCAGGGGGGTTCCTACTTGTCCACAGGGGACGCACCCAGTGGGGTATATATTGGATTCCTGGAAGGAGTGGGATATTATATGCCTCTCCCAGCTCTCCGTGGAGGACATCGAAGACGTGTGGATTTTTAGGCTGATAATTACTGGATTTCTTCTGTTTGGAGTGGGAGGTTGTCTGATATTTTGGAAAATTGGGAAGACAGGAGCGATTGAAGGGCAACCCGTACCCATGGAAAGTCTCCGTGTGGAAACTGCTCAGACTGGGACGTTAATCGAGGTGAATCGTAAGCTAGAGGTTCTAGCTGCGATCCCGGTATTAGTACGCAAAATGGACGTGATCTTGGAGAAAGTCAATGCACGGTATGGGCAAGTTTAAACCCAAAAATTAGATTCACAGAGGGACTGGAATGATCAGTTAAAGACTGAAAGGCAGAGAGAAAATTATCTCTGCCTGACCCAAACAATTCTTCCGATCTGAATCTGGTGCCCAGGTAGCCTTGAGCTGCTAGAAGACAAATCCCCCGCGAAGGAATGCAGACAGATGCTGTGAAAACCCGACCTACCACCCCTGCCTTCGGATTGGTGGACTTAGCCTGGTGAGGACATCAACTGAAGGAGTCAATGTACTCTTCACTCTCCCTCGATCTCCCTCCCACCTGTGATTCAACAGTCAGTGCGTTTACATGCAGCCAGTAACCCTTTTAAAACCCGAATATTCACAATAACCCGGTTCCGCAGGTCCATGTAAACACCGCCAAAAACCCGGATATGCTCATAACCGGGTTTTTAAAAACCCGGTTACTACACCTGGGGTAACCCTTTTCTAACCCGAATGTTTGGTCGTGTAAACGCATATCGGGATATGTGTTCTGCGCATGCTCTGTTCGCAAGGAATCTTGGTCTTTTGAGTAGTGAGACGTCTTGTATGCGCCAGAACACCGGAAGTAAACAACAAGTTGGGAGCAACATGGCGAGTCGCGGCACAGCACCACACTTTTGGAGTAACGAGGAAACCTCTGTCTTCATCGGTCTGGTGCAAAGTATGAACATTATGTCTTTTGTTGACGGCCAAAAGTACAAAGACAGCAAAATATACAAGCATATTGCGTCTTGACGTAGTCCATACGTCCTGACGCTACCCCAACGTCCTCATTTAAATCGGGTTATGCTTGTAAACGGGTTATTCTGATCAACTCAGAAACCCGAATACCGACCTTAACCCGATCATAACCCGGATATTGGCTGCATGTAAACGTAGTCTGTGTATGAGCGCCTCTGAAGACATCTGTGGTCTGATGCCTTCCCATTGGAGTCTCATGTTGCGTGAACTGTTGATGTTCGTGCTTATATGTTTGAGGTGCATTTTGCATGACAAAGCTACCCCCTGTCAGGAGTAACTGAAGTACCTTTTTTCCCTCCCCTCCCTCATTTATCCTCACGTAACCCTTTCCTATCTAACTGAAATGAGGGCCTTGAATGGCAGCTCTCGTGGTCTGCCTGTATCTGTTTTGTTCTACATGCTCTGTGTGTGTAACCTTGGTCAGGCTGTACTGCAGAGTTAAATTTCTGTGCTTCGGGACGCTGGGGCACTGACAATAAAGCTGATTCTGATATAGAATTAAAATATCTACTTTCAAAACAATTAAAAATTGTGGTAATGAAATAAAACTAAATTAATTTTTGCTGGTTGTACATTTGAGCATTACTTGAGTAATCAGAGTCCATAAACTGGACCTGTGATTAAACCACAAAAGGTCACACAGTCTGAAGCAACTTCATGTCTCATGAAACTAAATGGTTGCAAATGGCAGAAAAGGGAGTCGTTTTTACCCCAGGCCTTTTGAACATGAAGAAGCGAGCCAGGATGCTGAACCTCACAGGTGTAAGTGGACAAATCTGTCTTCAAAATCTCAACACGGTCTTTCCTCTGGAAGGTGTCGTCCTCATTTGGACGAATTCCAGACGTCTCCAGTCCATCGTCTGCAGTAAGGATGCGACCGTTTCGTTTGATCTGCAGGATGATGTCTTTAGGATAGAAGCCAGTGGCCAGGCACGTCAAGATAATGTTTTTCTCACTCTTGCTTTTTTGTGAGAACAGGTGCACATCAGGCTTACCTGGAAACAAAGATCGATGTTAACTACATCTAAATAATTTTTTTTGTCAATACTTAAAGTTAAAACTCAGTAACTTGTTGTGTTTTATACATACTGGCTTTTCGGAGCTGCTCTTTCCCGTAGTCCCTGAACTTGCTCATCCAGTCCATACACTCCTTCTCCAGGTAACCCTTGGTGTATTCCTTCAGGACTTGAACATCATCCCACTTCCTCTTGGTTTCTTTAGCTGCATCAAGTGTAGCTACCCAAACTTGGTTGTCATCGTCGAAGGACAGGAAGTCATTTCCGTCATAGTTGTACATGTCCATCCCACGGATGAACCTAATGGTACCATCCTCCTGACTCTCACCCTCACAGCCGTGCATCCACTGGAGAACGTGGGTATCTACTGGCAAATAAAAACATATAAATAAATGAACAAATATAAAATAATGGAATGTACTTACAGGTAAGATAACATTAGTAATAGAAGAGATGGTTATCAATAATAATGGGTATTGTCTCATCGTTGGACATTACCCGTGTCATTCTGTCTCATCCGTTTCATCAAGATGTCGATGTTGACCTTGAACCACTGCTGCTTGCTCTTCCTGGACTGTGTACCTTTATCCCAATACTCTTGTTCAAGATGCTCTGACATCCACGTCTGTTTGGGAATTTTTTTTTGCTCTTTGCTGTCATAGTAGTCAATCATCCTGTTGTCCAGCATTCCCATGGCCGTGAACTCATGGAAACCCGGGAGATCCACAGGTTGGGAGAAGGCCGTGTAGATGTAGGTCAGGGAGTGGCGTTCTGAAAATGATAAAAGGTGAAAAACAGATATTTATTTTAAAAGACATTTTGCCTTCATGCTTTGAGTTGATACAAATTGCTACCAAGGACATGTGTCAGGCTGATCAGACTGGATGAAGGAGACGAACAAGGTGAGACGTTTAACAGTTTTATTACTCTGGTCGTATCTCTGTGAGGAAGAAACGATGACTGAGATGAGAAGCCGGTCACGGCGTCTTCCATATATAGCCTTGCTTGGCTGTGACGTGGAGGGAATCCCCGCGAGGAGCACGCTGGGAGCTCCCCACGAGGGGCATGTCGGGAGTTGTGGTCCGAAGGTCAGCCGGGAGATACCTGAGTCCTGACAGGACCCCCCGGTCCAGGGACGGCTCCAGAAGTCCCAGCGCGACCCCGGCGGACCCAGAAGTCAGAGATCAGGGAAGGGTCCAGGATGGACCGAGCCGGCTCCCAGGAGCGTTCCTCGGGGCCATAGTCCTTCCAGTCCACCAGGTACTGCCAGCCCCGACCCCTGCGGCGAGCGTCCAGGATGCGCCGGACGGTGTAGATAGGCTCACCATCGAGGAAGCGGGCAGGAGGCGGCGCCGGAGCCGGAGGCGGGAGAAGGGAGGACTCCACGTAGGGCTTGAGCCGGGAGGTATGGAAGGTGGGATGGATGCGGAGAGTAGCCGGCAGCCGCAACCGGTACGTGACCGGGTTGATGACCCTTTGGATGGGGTATGGGCCGAGGAACCGAGGGGCGAGTTTCTTGGACCCGGCACGGACCCGAAGGTCAGCCGTGGACACCCAGACCTTGTCCCCAGGAGCATAGGAGGGACCAGGACGGTGTCGACGGAGATTCTGGTGAGCATAGCTGGTGTTAGCTCTGGTTATGGAGGCTCGTGCTTTGATCCAGGCGCTCTTGCAGCGTCTCACCATGGCTTCCGCTGCCGGAACGGCGACCTCGGGTTCTTGGTGGGCAAAGACCGGGGGCTGGAAGCCATAGCAGACCTCGAAAGGGGACAGCCGAGTGGCAGATGAGGTGTGAAGATTGTGGGACAGCTCCGCCCAGAGGAGGTATTTAGGCCACTGCAAGGGTTGAGCCGAGACAAAACAACGAAGGTACCGACCCAGCTGTTGGTTAGCCCGCTCCGTCTGGCCATTGGTCTGCGGGTGGTAGCCTGAAGAGAGACTGACCGATGCTCCCATCAGCCGACAGAAAGCTTTCCAGAACCGGGCCGTGAACTGGGGCCCCCGATCCGAGACCACGTCGACTGGGAACCCGTGGAGGCGCACCACATTCTCCAGGAACAGTTCCGCTGTGCGTTGGGCTGAGGAGAGACCCGGAAGGGCGATGAAATGGATAGACTTGGAAAAGCGGTCCGTAACCGTCATGACAGTGTTGAGGTTATTTACCGGCGGGAGACCCGTGACGAAGTCCAGCCCCACGTGGGACCAGGGGCGGCTGGGCACCGGAAGAGGTCGGAGGGCACCAGCCGAGGCCTGGTTGGGGTTCTTGGAGCGGGCACAGACGTCACAGGCGCTGGTGTATTCTTTCACATCCCTCGCCATGCCTGGCCACCAGAGGGCTCGCTGGAGGAATTTAAGAGTTCTGGAGAAACCAGCGTGGCCAAACAGGCGTGATGAGTGGGCCCAGGACAACGCCTCGCTGCGACAGGCCGTGGGGACATAGAGGCGACCCGCGGGGGTCTCTGGAGGCGTGGGGTCGTCCCGGAGGGCGTTCTGGATAGCTTCCTCCAACGGCCACCTCAGGTGGCCCAGGAAGCGGTGTTCCGGGAGGATTGGCGCTGGCTCGGACGAGGGCGTGGAGTGGGTGAATTGGCGGGAGAGGGCGTCCGCCTTCTGGTTCTTGGCTCCCGGGCGGTAGGCGAGATGGAAGTCGTAGGGTTCAAAGAAGAGGGCCCAGCGAGCCTGGCGAGGGTTAAGCTGCTTGGCAGATTTAATGTGGGTCAGGTTCTGATGGTCAGTCCAGATCGTGAAAGGCCGAGTGGTGCCCAGAAGCCACTGCCTCCATTCCTCCAATGCCCATTTTATGGCCAGTAACTCATGGTCGCCCACACCGTACTTCTGCTGGGTGGTGGAAAACTTCCTGGAGAAGTAGGCGCAGGGATGGAGCCTGTCGTCGGGCCCGCCTTGAGACAGGATGGCGCCGGCGCCGACGTCAGAGGCGTCGACCTCGACCACAAAGGGAACTGCAGGATCTGGATGGCGGAGGATCGGGGCCGAGGTAAAGCGGGTGACCAGGTGGCGGAAGGCCCGAATGGCGTCGGGAGTTAGACGAAACAGCTGGCCAGGGGAGCCTGGTCGAGTGAGAGAGGTGAGAGGGGCTACGAGGGTGCTATAGTTCTTTATAAAACGGCGGTAAAAGTTGCAGAAACCCAGAAAACTCTGCAGTTGTTTCAGGCTGGTTGGCAAGGGCCAGTCCTTCACCGCCTGGATTTTCTGAGGGTCCATGGTTATCCCTTCGTCCGAGATCATGTAGCCCAGGAAGGATATGGACTGCTGATGGAAGGAGCATTTCTCGGGTTTACAGTACAGGTTGTGGTCCAGGAGCCGGGTCAGGACGGCGCGAACATGATGGATGTGTTCGGCCTCGGATTTGGAGTAGATCAGTATATCGTCCAGATAGGCGAACACCCACCATCCCAGCATGCCGCGGAGGACATCATTAATGAGACGTTGGAAGACAGCAGGGCTATTGCATAGTCCGAAGGGCATAACCAGGTACTCCCAGTGGCCGGTGGGTGTTATGAACGCGGTCTTCCACTCATCCCCGGCCTTTATACGGACCAGATTGTAGGCGCTCCGGAGATCCAGTTTCGTAAAGATCCGTGCCTGGGAGATGGCATCCAGAGCGGTAGTGAGGAGCGGCAGAGGATGGCGGTCCTTGACCGTGATCTTGTTCAGACCCCGATAGTCTATGCAGGGGCGAAGATCGCCTTCCTTTTTCTTCACGAAGAAGAAGCCAGCGGCACCCGGAGAGGAGGAGGGTCGGATGAACCCCTGCTGGAGGGCCTGGGCGATGTACTCTTCCATCGCTTTGGTCTCGGGAGGCGCGAGAGAGAAAAGGCGCCCGCGGGGAGGACTGGTTCCGGGTAGCAGCTTGATCTCCATATCATATGGCCGGTGAGGTGGCAGGGAGGTGGCGCGCCGCTTGTCGAACACCGCGGCCAGGTCCCGATAGGGCAGCGGCTGGTGGGGCGGTGTGGAGCCGGGGCCCCCGTCCGGAAGACCCGCCGAGGATGGAGGAGGAACGAGGTGGGTCTGGCACGAGGTCCCCCAGCCCAGCAGGCGGTTCTGGGACCAGGAAATATGAGGGTCGTGGAGACGGAGCCAGGGGAACCCCAGGATTAGAGGAGAAGAGGGAGCAGAAATGACCAGGAAATGGAGGGTCTCCTGGTGGCCTTGGGTGATCATACGGAGTGACTGGGTTCGGTCTCGGACTGGGTAGGGTTGGAGAGGCCTACCGTCCACCGAGGTCACTGGTATAACTCTCTCCAGGGGTTGTAGGGGGATCCGTAGGCGTTTTGCCAGATCTAGGTCCATGAAATTGTCCGCGGCCCCCGAGTCCACCAATGCGTTTACGTGGAGTGAGGCCTCACCATGGAGGAGGGTGACAGGAATAAGGAGACGGTTAGTAGCGACAGGGGTAGAAGAAGACCCAGACTGAGCGACCCCAATACTCAGTGGGGCCCCCCGTTTCCCGATCGTAGCGGGCAGTCCAGGCGTCGGTGGTCGGGAGAGCCACAGTAGGCACAGAGGCCCTCGCGCCACCGTCGTTGTCTCTCCTCGGGGGGAAGGTGGCCGAGCTGCATGGGCTCCTCCGCCAGCATGGGTACAGGAGCTGGCGTGGGTGAACGAGGGCGAGGCACCGGTGTCCTGGGTGGACGCGTGGATAACTTGGGTCGAACCAGAACCCGCTGGTCGATGCGCAGCGCCAGATCAACCACCTCATCCAGGGTCTGAGGCAGCTCCCTTCCCGCCAACTCATCACGGATGTAGGGTGCCAGCCCCTCCAGGAAGGCGGCCCGCAGAGCGGAGTCATTCCACTGCAGCTTGGCGGAGATGGTGCGAAACTCCGACGCATAAGCACACACCGAGCGTTCTCGCTGGCGGAGTTTGAGAAGGCGTGTCTCTGCTCCCACTTCGCTGCTGGGGGGAACAAAGGTCTTCCGGAGAGCGGACACAAACGCAGCATAGTCGTTGCAGGCAGGGGATTTGGAATTGTAAAGCGCAGCAGCCCACTCCGCGGCGCGTCCGGAGAGCAGGGAGGTGAGATGCGCCACTCGGGAGCGCGCAGATGGGTAGCGTCCAGGTTGGCACTCGAACTGCATGTCCAGCGTGGCGAGCAGACCATCGGGGCTCCCCGTCTCACCTCTCCGGCAGGCTGAAGTGGGGCTCCTCCCTAGGAGCAGAGCGGGTTGGCTGCTGGAGTGCAGCGATCTGTTGCTGCTGATCGTTTGCCTGTTGTTGGAGAGCCGTGAGAGCCGTGGATAGACGCAGGGTGTGGTCGGACAAGGAGTTCACCTTGGTGTTGAGCCGATCTACCATGGAACGCAGCTGCACGTTCTCGTGGCGGAGACGATCGATCTCCGTCGAATCTACTCGGATCTCAGTCATCCTGTCAGGCTGATCAGACTGGATGAAGGAGACGAACAAGGTGAGACGTTTAACAGTTTTATTACTCTGGTCGTATCTCTGTGAGGAAGAAACGATGACTGAGATGAGAAGCCGGTCACGGCGTCTTCCATATATAGCCTTGCTTGGCTGTGACGTGGAGGGAATCCCCGCGAGGAGCACGCTGGGAGCTCCCCACGAGGGGCATGTCGGGAGTTGTGGTCCGAAGGTCAGCCGGGAGATACCTGAGTCCTGACAACATGTTAATCTTGGACATTCTTTTTCTGAAGATAAGCAAAAATATTTTCAAAAATCAAGTGAACGTCTAGTTTTTTGTAACTGTCTATGACATTAACTGTGATTTATTTGAATAATTTCACATTAATTCCAATAACTGCACTCAACAAAAGTCAGAAAGTGCATTTAAAATGTATGTCGTTCAATGCAGTCATTTCTATCACATCTGATCAAAACTTCTCTATTCCTTTCATAATAGAACACCAGCTGTTAAACAAGCCTGACTGATATCCTCAACTATCATTGTGGTAAACTGGTGTCCCTCAAGGCTGTGTACTCGGTCCTGTTCTGAACATATTTCAAATGGACAACTATTGACATAAAAGTCTATAATATCTAATAATCAATCCATATCTCAATTAGAACTTATTGATACACAGTTACAGGACAAAAATTTAAAATAATTCTGATTATATAACCAAAAGTAAACATGTTTAGAAACATTCACAGCAAAGGTTATTTCAGCTTCAGTCTGTCACACTGTTAGGTGGGAGAGGTTAGGACCCAAGATGCAGACCCAGGATGACACAAGGCAGGAGTAGTGAAAACGTAAAATCCTTTATTAGGAGCGATAGTCCAAAGTAAATCCTTTGTGGCAGGAAACCAAAAACGAAAATCTAAAAATCCAAATATGAAAAACCAAGAGACCTAGAGAACAAAGAGCTCACTTAAAGAGCTGACCTGGAGATATCCAAAACACAAGAGACCAAGAGTTCCAAAAATCCTAGAGACCAAGAGAGGGGGTGAGACAATGCTGACACAAACAATGGACCAACAACACATTGGACGCAGACAGGGTTTTATACACAGGGGCTGGGTGATTGGGAGAACGAGGAGCAGGTGCGTGGGGAGAGACTGGTGAGATTAAGTAACTAAATGGGAAGGGAAAACCAAGCAAAAGGGATATGCCTTAACCTATGAATCTCTAAATAATCTCTAAATAAATAAACCTGAAAAACTAAGGGCACAAGAGAACCAAAGATAAATAACTACTGACCTGAGGAGAGAGGGAGACAAATTAACAAGTGGGGAAGGAAAACACACACACAAAAGGAGACTAATAAAATGAAAAGCTGAACCTATAAAAAACTACAGAGGGGTGACTAGGACAGACCTGAGGGAAACCGGGAGTGAGCTGGGGACAGAAAGGGGCACAGAAGACTTGGGGAAACATGAGAGAGGGTGCTCGCTGCAGACCTACAAAGGCGGAGCTGCACCATAAGGTGGAGCTGCACCAGAGTCAGCCCCGCCCATTCACGCAAACTCAGCCCAGCCCTCTGACTTCCGTTTTTGTTTTTCAACTTTATCGCAAACTAACCTGCCCCTCATGAATTATGGCTGTTACTAGTTTACAGTCGTTAATGCTATGTTCTATGCTGCATTTAAACAAGATAAATATAACTTGGTACATGACAAAGCCTGAATATATCTTGAAATGAAAAGATTCATTTTAGCGAATATCTGCCCACAACCGCTCCAACAAAACTAACATACAACAGCACAGCAGATTGTTGAATGGGCTCTGGTAGTCCAGTGGCAAGATTGTTCATTTTAAGTTTTGCTTTCCCCTCAGCTGATGCTGGTTCGATTCTCAGTAAGGTCGACAGCGATCTATTTAGCCAGCTGAAACATTTAATTTGTTTATATTTTAGTTGTAATGTTTCTTTTCTGCAAAATATTTATGTCTCTAAAAGTTCTTTGAATTTGGTCGTTCCTAAACAGCATTTTAGTTGAAACTCTGCTAACAAATGGACTCACACTGGCTAAATAAACCAATAAATAAATAAATTAATTAATAAACACATTAGTCATTATATGTTAAACGGTATACCAGTAAATTGTTGTAAACATAGTACTGGCAAGTGTAGCTAGAAATGAAGAAAAGGGGTTTAAAACTACCTATCACTTCCACCACTGGTGGGCGAACCTGCGCACCCCTGCGTGTTAACCTGAATCCATAACCACTACACCTGATAAAATGCAAATGGCGTTACATGTAATTGTCCTACTCAGTGTGTTTTTGTAGATAGGGATGTATGGTTTATTGGCGGTGTCTCAGTAGAAGTCATTTCAGAAATAATTTGTCAGAAAATTCACAGAATATCCAGATTTGAGAACCAAGACCAGACCCGCTTCGGGGGAGGAGACCAAATTGAAGCTGAGATGGGAGGAAAATGCATGAATGAGGCCAAAAATGGCTTTGACGTGTTTCTTATGAGGAAATGACAATATAACACGGTAAAAAGTTCCAAAAGTTAGATTTTTAATTGTATGGAACCTTTACAAAAACTGTTCAATTAACTTCTCAACTCCGTCCTCAATATTGCATTTTTTAGCTATAACACCCTCTATGGTTCCAGAATGCTATCAAGTCTGACAACTGGAAGGAATTGGGCTGACTCTGGTGGAATGGGCGGGGCTGACTCTGGAATGGGCGGGGCTGACTCTGGTGCAGCTCCACCTTCTGGTGCAGCTCCGTATGGCGTTTAAAGCGTGCCACAACCCGTGCACGCGCATTGGGTCCACAGCGCGCGTGTGAACGGGACTCGCGAGCGCAAATATACATGGCAGCGCGCGTGTGAACGGGACTCGCGCGCGTGTGAACGGGACTCGCGAGCGAAAATATACATGGCGAGAGGTCATTTGTGCACTGAGAGGGAGCAAACTGTGTCTGTGAGCGCACAAGGATGTGCACAAGTGACAAACCTGCGTGCGCGCGTTGTCAACGAGCACACGGCAGAGGAAAACGTGCGCGCGCGGCAGCCTCTGTGCGCGCTCGGCAGCCTCTCTGCGCGCTCGGTTTCTGACTCCTGCTCGCTCGGCTGTAAGGGCTTTTGGCACTCTGGAGGCGTGGCCTGTGGCAGATCTTGTCTGTCCTCTGATTGGTTAGTTCACCCCGCACTTTACCCTCTATCTATATAAAAAAGTCTGATGTTCAGTAGTTGCTGGCATAGCTCAGCTGGGAGAGCGGGTGACTCTCGCCCCGGAGGATCCAGGTTCGAGTCTGGGCAAGGAGAATGTAGTAGACGTCATGTTAATTTTTCTTAATTTCAGGTATTTTACAGTTGTGACCGTTCAACTGTCATTAAACGTCCGAATGTTTGCTGGGCAGTGTTTTAAAAAGTGCACATAAGCTAGATGGTTTTAACCATATAAAATTACATTTTTTGTGATACTGGAAAAATACATACTGAAATAAAACTACTGATTGAAAACTTTATGACTGTGGTTGTACAATATATGACTCACTAATACACTGCAAACTCCCTTAGAGTGGGGCTTCCAGAGAGAGAGAGAGAGAGAGAGAGAGAGAGAAAGAGAGAGAGAGAGAGAGAGAGAGAGAGAGAGAGAGAGAGAGAGAGAGAGAGAGAGAGAGAGAGAGAGAGAGAGAGAGAGAAGTTCTTGCCTCATTAATGAATTGTTTATTTTTTCAGTATTTAATTGACAAATTATCCTTTCAAATAATTAATTGATGAGTTACATAATTGTCCATTTAGAATTGTTGAATGGACTGAGTCAAGTTTGGTGCACTTTATATATTTCAAAACATGTTTTTTTTTTATTTTAATTATGCATATAAATAATTTAAATGTTAATTTAATGAAATATTTCTATTTTTTCATTACCTCACCCTTGTTTTGACAAAAACGGGACCTTGCTGGATAATATCATGGAGAAACTATTTGTTCACAGTACATGGCTCAGTGAGGATCTGTGTAAAGGAGGAGATACTCAGAAATCTGTCTGCAGATTGTTACAACCCAGACTGGAAGTGGTGGGCTGTAATAAGAAAGGAGACCAAACAGAGGAGTGGGGGTTCAACAACTGATTTATTTAACAAAAGTAAGGATTTACTAAAGCAAGTTAGTGAACAGAAAATGGCCATCTCAAGGTTTTACTCGGATGTCCCTCAGCAGGGTGCAGCACTGTTGAAGGTCATCTGAATGAAAGCTTGATATGCAGTTTCTTTATGAAATGGACAATTATGTAACTCATCAATTAATTATTTGAAAGGATAATTTGTCAATTAAATACTGAAAAAAATAAACAATTCATTAATGAGGCAAGAACTTTTCTCTCTCTCTCTCTCTCTCTGGAAGCCCCACTCTAAGGGAGTTTGCAGTGTATTAGTGAGTCATATATTGTACAACCACAGTCATAAAGTTTTCAATCAGTAGTTTTATTTCAGTATGTATTTTTCCAGTATCACAAAAAATGTAATTTTATATGGTTAAAACCATCTAGCTTATGTGCACTTTTTAAAACACTGCCCAGCAAACATTCGGACGTTTAATGACAGTTGAACGGTCACAACTGTAAAATACCTGAAATTAAGAAAAATTAACATGACATCTACTGCATTTTCCTTGCCCGGACTCGAACCTGGATCCTCTGGGGCAAGAGTCACCCGCTCTCCCAGCTGAGCTATGCCAGCAACTGCTGAACATCAGACTTTTTTATATAGATAGAGGGTAAAGTGCGGGGTGAACTAACCAATCAGAGGACAGACAAGATCTGCCACAGGCCACGCCTCCAGAGTGCCAAAAGCCCTTACAGCCGAGCGAGCAGGAGTCAGAAACCGAGCGCGCAGAGAGGCTGCCGAGCGCGCACAGAGGCTGCCGCGCGCGCACGTTTTCCTCTGCCGTGTGCTCGTTGACAACGCGCGCACGCAGGTTTGTCACTTGTGCACATCCTTGTGCGCTCACAGACACAGTTTGCTCCCTCTCTGTGCACAAATGACCTCTCGCCATGTATATTTTCGCTCGCGAGTCCCGTTCACACGCGCGCGAGTCCCGTTCACACGCGCGCTGTGGACCCAATGCGCGTGCACGGGTTGTGACACGGGTATGACGCGATAGCTCCGCCTTTGTGGTTCTGCAGCGAGCACCACTTGAAACATGATGGAAACCTTGAGGGAAACCTGGAAGGGGCTGGGGACCACAAAGAGTCACCCGAGGAGGGATGCAGACAAGGAGACACGTAAGGGAAACCTAGAGAGGGATGGAGGACACAAGGAGAAACATGAGGGAGACGCAGGACGCAGACCATGACAGTCTTCATCTTCTGCTGCTACTTAATAAAAATACAATTTAACCTAATTTAACTGAATAAAATAAACATATCAGTTGAAATAAGAAGTGGCAAATGCAGTATCTAATAATACTGGCTTGAACACTTTTAATTTTTACATGTGTGTTTCTATTGTTGAGGTTTTGTCTACAGACTGGTACAAATTAATATTGTAGTTGGTGACTATTCCAAGACACTAAACCAACAAGAACAACACTGGTTTCATTCCAAGCATCATCTCATGACATTACAGCATGACAAAACAGCTTTCTGTGGAAACTTATTTTTAATAATAAGATGCCACAGGTAAACAAATTGTTTTCAGAGAAAACATCTTAAGACATTTTTCCAGTAATGCCAATGTGTTTACAAACAAGGATCATCACTTTTAATGATAATCAGTATTTGTTAGTGGTTAAGGGTATTATCGATTAGTTGTCATGTTATATTTTTTAATCATTTGTTAAGCTTCTGAGATGCAATTAAGGCTGTATGACAGATTTAACACCATTTCTATCGATTTCTAAAACTAATTTATGGATTTTACTTAAAAGCAATTGCTCATGGTGACATGAGTAACTAGATGTTCAGGGCAATTAATAACTAAGTCATATCAGTTACTTTATCACACCCAGGTCACTTGAGTTTTCCAGTGTGTATCGTTTTGATTCTAACCAGGAAGCTACTTAAAAGTATTTTCAAGATGCACTATTTCAACAATCTAGTCAGACCTGTTGAGTGACCGCCTCACATTTACTTTTTTATCTCCCACCTTTTAGAATCATGCAACAGTGGCTTTAACTTGTCTGATGTATAAGTGACATTTCTCACAATCACTAAAACCTTTCAAACATCACCTAAACATGTTTAAGTTGTATCTCTTATGTCAGATAAGACTGTACCTTTCTTTTCAATATGCTGACTAATTTAGACATTTCTTCTGAACACAGACAGAAAACACCAGATGCTGAAGGTCGACTCATGACGAGGAGCTGCTATGGTCTCAAAAAGATCTTTTAACATATTTCTACCTTTACATTTTTAGTATTGGAATATTCAAGAACAGCAAAGTTTATCATGTTTTGTTTTCCTTGTTTAGTGTTTTGTCAAACAAAAAGTAGACATTACATGCATTTATATAGAATATTTCATATTTTGTGCTTATTACACATTAAACATTTATCAGATAATTCAAGCTAGTAAAAAAAATACATGGTCAAAATTTCAACGGCACCACAATTTCTTACTTTCACTTTTGATTTCTAATGTTTATTATCTTTAAAAAAATCCTCCAACTTACCACTCTTGACCACCAGCCCAGCCCCCAAAAGGACCAAAAAGCTGAAAAGTGACATTTTGAACCTAAGTTAGGCTCGACTTTTGTTGAAATCCTTTTTCCACCGGCAGGTGTGTCAGTCTTCATCCACCTCAGAAGTGTTCCTGTAATTCAGGACTTTCCTGCTCTTACTCTGATAATGATTACCCAGGATGCATTCAGTCCCTCCTAAAATGGAGACGTACTCTTGGTTTCACTTTAAAGGCCCAATGTGTGATATTTCATCTTATAAGTTATCAAATTTCTTGTATCACATTCTCAAATTTGTTTTTTTTTAATGATAATTCAAACAAGCATTTATTCTAAGCATTATTATTAGCTTTATATTTTAATATTTTAGACAAAAGAAGCAGACCGGTGCTCCATATGGCATGCGCCATCTTAAAATACAGTGACCTTTTAGGGACATACAACATATTAAGCTTCGCATTTGATGTTTGCGTTTTTAAATGATGTAACCTCAAAGAAACAGCAGGGGGCAGAAGTGCGCCTTGTAAGCATGCAGTCTGACAAAGTAACTAAGAAGAAGAAGAAACTAGCCACACCGTACTTCTAGCGATGGAGGATCACACATATTCTAAAAGCAAACTTGAGAAACGGGATAGTTTGAAAGCGCCGATCTTCTAGACTTTATTGCAGCTCTGCCTCTTCCTCTTGTGCGTGGGACGTTGCGGCTGGTTTGAGCAAATTCGGCTCCTTCATCTTGGGATGCTTGCCCTGCTTCTGTCGCATGTCTAACTCCTCTGCCTCTCTGTGCGCTGGCACACGTCTGTCCTCTCCCTCTTCCTCTCCCTCTTCCTCGCCCTCTTCCTCTCCCTCGTCCTCTGTCTGTCTCCACTGATGAACCATCGGATGATATCTGACTCTGTTTACGGAGAGAAAACAATTACAGACTACACTACCTTGTATATTTCCAAAATGGCAAATAGAAATATAACATTTCTCAAATAAAATGAACAAAATATTGTCATTTTTTGTAGTCAGAAGTCATCACTAACTAGCTGCCGTTTGCTATTAGCAAACATAACAGACATAAAAAAGTCTTTCTTATTCAAAACCTATTTAGATTAAATTAATAAAATAAGTTAGATGAAAACAACTAACCTGTTCGCTGACTTGAAAGCTGGAATTAGATGATGACATGCTGCCGTTTACAGCAACACGATTTTGTATTGTATTTGTTATATTTGTTAATAAAGTTTTAAATAATGATTAAAAAAAACCTTTTTGATCCTCGGGGGCTCCAATAGCTGCAATACCGACTCTAAACTGCGTGGTGCTAAAGAGTCGGATCTTTTTACTATGATTTCTGTGAATTTCACACACGGGGCCTTTAACGTCTCCATTGTAACAGACGCCGTCTGTTTTGTGGCCATAAGATGGCCTCCTCGTCATTACCTGCTTTCCTTGCTCTAGCTGAGCCAGGTGCAGCTGATTTTCAATCATTAATCCTCCCTAGAAAAGGACAGCTCTTTCTGACATTCGGGGAGGGAAGCTTAGAAGAGGCCTGGTGTTAGAGTGTGTGTTCTTCTTTTCCCTCCAGCCTGAAGTTAAAGTCTCGTTTGGTACCTGTGTGGTAGTGGTAAATCTTCCTTGTGATATAGAGCTTGCTGTGTTTGATTAGAATACTCGTTAAAGCGTTCAGCTCACCCTTTTGTGGAGCTTTTTGTGTTCATTTAATTCCTTCCTTTTTTCTCCCGGTTTAGTCCCGGCGTTTTGGGTTTCTTCATCATTGTTATTTACCCAATTTTGGATGACCTTTGTGTATTGTGACGTTTCTGTTTTTCCTGCATAAAGCAGTGATTTTTAGTTTAATAAACTCCCTTAAGAGAGTGAAACTTGGTTTGGTCCTGTTCTCAACCACATTTCTTTACGCTCCCTAAACACCACCATCTCCTAGACGAGCTGAGGGCTGTAAAATCCATTCACAATTAAATATAAAAGGTCTATTTTTGTACAATTTGTTTATTATTGAAGTATGATTTTAAAATAAACAAAAGTCCAGCCAAGTGCTTTGAGAATTTAAATGAGTTTATTTGATTTTGGAAAACAAACCAGGCACACTGCAGCAGGGTTCTTACACAACATCCAAAACCAGTGCAAGTTTTATTCATTTTACAGCAAATTGTGTGATTTCCACATACATATCTGCTTAGATAAAAAATCTGACTTAACTCATCACATTAAATCAATCGCAACTTCATTACAGAAAAAAATAAAATTTATTGAAATATCAATTTTTTTTTTACATTTAAAACTGCATTATATTAGCGGGTAGATAGTGATCAACATGAGCAGTAACATACAAGGACACGCCACATCTTCCTGATTCTGACTACAGTGAACTTTATTTTCTGTTATCTACTTCCTTATCAGCGCTCAACCTTGGCAGCAGACTCAGTTCATCCAAAAAATGTCTCAGATATTCGGGAGAATCTCAACGAGATTAATTCCATATCGAATCCTTTAAATTAATAACTAGGGCTGGGACTTTAACACGTTAATTATGATGAATTAATGAGAAAAAAATAACGTGTTAAAAAAATTAACGCATTTAATCGCAGCTTTCATTTCGAGCACGGCGGAACCTTTGTCATTGCACAATTTCCTCATAGACTGAATATCACTGATGCACACAACAATGCACAGTGCTAATGGCTACTAAAACGGAATAAAAACAGAAAGAAGTTGCCTTGCTTGGACTGATGCAGGATTTATGAAACACGTCCGCCTCTTTTCTTAACTTGGAAAAAAAAAACTTCCAGACAACAACGGAGTCCGTGTCATGGACATTTTTCAGAGATCGTCTCTGCTGCGGCTGCCCGGTGGCACCGGAAACTTTACAAAAGTTGCGGTAAGCTATATTTTTAACATTTACGTAACAACTGTGCAGCGCTGAAAGCACCAGACAGAATAAATCAGTAGTTGATGAAAGTAGTCAGACAAACGAGAGGCACCTGGCTGCCGCTGGAAGAACACTCCGTGTTCTCACTACTCTGTAGACAATCACAAACAACGTGTCTTAAAGTTGAAAACAGAAGTTTAAGTTAAAACCGAAACACTCTGAAACTTTTCTGATGATTTTCTTAATTCTGTCGGGGAGTTATATGTTTCTGAGACGAGTCTCTGTCTAAACATCACATGCATTACTATCATTAAGCAGCGAGGTGTGTTGAAGCTGTCATCAGCTAAGGGGCGGATGCTTAAGTGCATCGGGGCAGCGAGGAACGAGGAAGTTGCGATCAGGCTAGAGATCACACCAGATTCGCTGCAGCAGGCGTGAATCTGCGGGTCTGCAGCATCCCTACTTAACGTGACATCAGGACTTTCCATGTAAGGAAGGTCCGCTCACCTGTTCGTCAGATCATTATTTCCTCGCCATGATCTTTTATCTTCCCATCATCCTCCAGTCATCCAACTGGAACCAGTTAATGTTCCTGATCATTCTCAGAATATGTCACGCCTGCTCTGGTGTTAAAAGTTAGTATATTTAAGTGCTAGATCATATTTGTGCCTGTTCTACTGTCATTTTGAAGGATTATTATTCATGTGTTTTTACTACATTATGAGTAGAAATGCTAATAAAAACTCCCAATTATACAAACAAGTGAAACTGGAAAAATGAGAATCTGGTGCAAAGTCTAATTTATTTCAGTCATTCAACTAGACAGAGAGACTATTTAAAGGCTCAGGAACACTTTGCAGGTGTTTTCTATTTGTAATTATAATTTTAGTTCATTTGGGTCTTGTTTCATATCACACAGTGACATTTGAATAATTAAAATGCATTTTTTATTAAAAGCTTTAGTTTACAGTAATAACCATGTCTAATGTTTGATTCTCTGTCTCATAATTTTAATTAAAAGTTTTGCTTTGAGAGCACATTTTCCTGAACGATTAAAATGCGATTAATTTAGATTAATTAATTAATTACAAAGCCTCTAATTAATTTGATTAAAATTTTTAAAAAGTACATGAAAAGTTTACATAGAAAGTCGGTCACGCATGGCTTTGACTTTCTGGCATCCTACTTTTAACCACACACGCTGTCTTTATTCACAAACAACAAAATGTTGGTTTAGATCCTTTGTCCCCTTTAATCTGATTTTGTTAAAATATCCTCATTAAAAACAGATTTCCATGTAACAGCATGTTTAAAACAACTCTCCAAACCATCTTAACAGTCCCATTTCACAGCAGAAATGTTGAAAGGTGCATTAATAAGGGCTGCGTTCCACTTTAAATTTCTGCCTTTGCGCATGTTCATAAAAACCCAGCATGCACAGAGACGGAAGTAGAAGACAGCCCTTGTTATTACATCTGTGTGTGTGTCCTAATCATCAACACATCTGTCATGAACAAGGTCTAATGAAAAGACTGTAACTTTAAAATAAACAACTCCCCACACACAATATCCTATCTGGCATAATTTCATTTTAAATGGAAGGATTTACATGATTTTGTAACATTTCAGTATATTTCACAGGTGGGTAGACAATCTTTATTATTATTTTACAGACACCTAGATTTAAGTTAATATGTGAGAAATGTAATTATTTTATGACTCATTTGAATTTTACTATAAATTTTTCTCTGAAATTTTCAGAAAGTTAATTTAGGACCAATATTTTATAGTTACCACTGATTAAGAGTGGATTCAAGATATCGAAATTCCAGGGAAAACATTTTCTTCCTCAGGTATAAGAAATTAGGACCACATGAAAATGATGTCTGATGAGTCTTCTATGTCAGCAGATTGGTAGAGCACTTTACCAAAACATTCCTGCACTTAGCTGAGGGATAAAATAAATAAACTACCAAAGATATATTAAAAATAGCCTGTTTGACTTAAAGATAAAACCTGAACACTTAACTATTTGATTACATTCTAACCCATATTGCTCCAAAAGAAATAAAATGCAGAAACAATGTTTTTTTACAAGGTTTCTTGCCATTGATGTTTAAAGATATAAATAAGTTTAGCCTTTTCTCCTTAAATTTTAGTGTTAAGATATTGTGTTTTTCTACTGTATTACGAGTAACAAGCCTCAACCTGTGGCACCTTATCACAGCAGGACATACTGAGAAGGTTTCATTCATGCCAAATTTTCATGTATTTTATATTCATCAGACATGAAAACGGGCTAAGGGTGGGAAAAGGTGAGACCCATAAATTGTTTTTCAAATAACAACTTAAACAAGTAAAGCTTAAAAAATGAAACCAATTATCAACGAAATCAGATAAATATCAACAAATAATGTGAAATGAAATGTTTTGTCTGGTGCTGAAAATACTAGAACTATATAAGAATCCTAAACTTCTCTCTCTCTCTCTATTCTGTCAGAGTGCAACTCACTCTGCCCAAATAATGAATAGACCCAATTCTGATTCGACCCGACGGGCATACTCGGTTCGGGCTTGGGTCGCCCCTCGCCTGGCGGTCTAAACAGGAGAGACTTCCAGGCGAGGTGTGTTTGTACAAATGTATTTATTTCACTGTTCCCCTGTGTTTAATAGTGAAACTGGTTAACTTGTGAAACCCGCGCTATCAACCCATCACCCCCTCCAAATATTTTTTCATCGGATCTCCACGAATCAAGCAAATGACCCGTTTTGAATTCAAAACGGCAAATTTTGCCCAAAAGTGAGGGAAATTCATGTCTGATTTATATCTATATATAACCTAGAAATCCATCCATCCATCCATTGTCTGAACCTGCTTGTCCAAGTGGGGTCGCGCGCGGGGGGGTGGGGTCAATGGGCAATCAGGAGGGGTACACCCTAGACAGAGAGCCTGTCCATCGCAGGGAAACACAGACACACAGGACTAACAATTACACACACACACACACACACACACACACACACACACACACACACACACACACACACACACACACACACACACACACACACACACACACACACACACACACACACACACACCTAAGGACAATTTAGACTGACCAATCAACCTAACAGTCATGTTTTTGGACCGTGGGAGGAAGCCGGAGTACCCGGAGGGAACCCACACATGCACAGGGAGAACATGCAAACTCCATGCAGAAAGATCCCAGGATGGGAAGCGAAGCCAGGACCTTCTTGTAGCAAGGCACCAGCTCTAACCACTGCACCACTGTGCAGCCCTAACCTAGAAATGTAACGCCAATCTCCAATTTTTATCTACTGACTTGAAAGACAAATACACACAAAAAAAATCCTGCCTAGTCCAAACTGAGTTTTATGCCTCTCTATAAATCAAATAGCTACACATGTGAATGGTTGCCTCTATTCTAAGAAAGCTGTAGAAAAACAAATTTATGTTAAGAAGAAGAAAATATAATTTCTATAGTGCCTCTCAAGATAAAGATCACGAGGCGCTTCACAAAAACAAAAAATGTAAAAATATAAAAAAGAATTTGGAAAATGGTTAAAAATATATTTAAAGCAGGGGTGTCAAAGTCAAACTCACACGGGGCCGAAATGAAACTCTGGGACGGAGTCGAGGGCCAAACTTAATATTTTTTGAAAAAGTGACGGCAAATTTGCACATTTTCTTTATCAACATATATGCAATTTTGAACCTTTGAATTTGGAAATAAACTTATTTCTGCATTAACACTGAATGTGGAATAACCAAATTACACACGAGCAAGTCAGTTTTAAATAAAAGGCATCAGTGGTATTCATTACTTGTGGTATAATCAGCATTTTTAAAATCTATTCAGGATTTATGTTTTCTTGTTTATTCATTTTTCTTATTTTTTATTCTCCTTTTTTTCTCCTGTAATACGTGTCATCGCTGCTGTGACGTCTAGCTTTCCCCACTGAGGAACAATAAAGGGATTTTCTATTCTATTCATCTATCTGCAGCCTTTCCACTTCCTGTTTACTGTGGGTTAAATCTTTTCTCACGGGCCAACAACAAAATAAAAATATCATTTTATCTTAAATGAAAATGCAACATCTCACCTGTTAACTTTCATGTTTTGGAGCAGAAAAAGAGCATAAAACCAACATATTTAAAGCTCAGTTTGCTCCACTGGTTTACTGTGATGCTCACCTGTTCCAGCCAGATACCTGCATCATGGGGTTGATCTGAGCTGAGGAGGAGACTCCTGTTGTTTTGTTCATCTTCATCATAATAATGACAACATTAGATGACAACAGGTGCTCACATAGGTTTGTGCTGATGAACATGTCTGAGCAGCTTGACCACGTTGTGTGTCGGGGAGGAAACACAACGACAGCAGCCACAGAGTCATGCTGATTTGAGCGTGTCGCTGCTCGCTGGAGTTATATCGGCTCTGTCTGGACGTTAGTTGGAAAACTTTCTCTTTCAGTCGTGAACACATTACTGAGCGGCTAGAATCTCCGTTTCTGGGCTTCAACTTCAGAATCAGCTGAGTAAACTCGGCGCTGAGTGAGAGGAGTGTAGTTTGTCCGGGACAGCGGAGCTGCAGACACCGGCAGCAGGCGCTGGAAAAAACACAAAGGAGGGGGCGCATTGGCTCCGTGCTGACGCCGCAAAGCATCATGGGAGTTGAAGTCTTTGCGGTAAAATCGGCCAGCGGGCCAGTTTTAATATATTTTTGATATTTATCTCGCGGGCCACATAAAAATGCTCCACGGGCAGCATCTGGCCCGCAGGTCTTGAGTCTGACACGTTATTTAAAATGAGCAAAAATAGACAATTGTGATTAAAAAGAAAAAATGTTAAGAGAGAGTGTGAACAGGAAAGAGGGAAATCAGTGGATCCTGAGGAAGGTGGAATAGGTGGGGAGAGCAGAATAAAGAGAGAGTGGTGAAGAAGGTCATACAAAAGCCAGCTTGAGCAAGTGAGTCTTCAGCTGCTTTTTAAAGGAGACCACTGAGTCCACTGATCTCAGGCTCAGGGGGAGAGAAGTTAAGAATTTGTTATGAAGTAAAAAGTGCTTTAAAAACCATTCAGCTGAAATAAGCATTTCTTCTCTTTGTGCCACAGATTTGGCCATAAAAATCTTTGTTCAACTGGTTCATCTGGTTCCAGAGACCTTAGACTGGCTAATTGTTTCCACTGGAACCATCTGGAGAAGGGTTGCATTGGTCGGGGAAGATGTCGGCTGTTGAATAAAAAGGCAAAATTAGTTCAAATGCACAAAACTAAAAACACTTTAGGTAATAGAGGACTTAAAGAATGAATAAATCGACATACAATTATTCAGCAACTGAAACATGTTATGGTCTGAGGGGTGTACAAAAACTATTAACAAAAGAATTCTAAATAAATTAAAAGGTGGGATCAGAGTTCCTGAGAAAGCAGTTAAAACACAATCCCTTCTGAAAATACCTTGCAGCTGAACACTAATTGTAAACCTAGATCTGTGGTACACTCCTCTGCAAGAAGACAGAACACTGTGTTTTGATGAGATTATAAACCTCTAATAATGTCGCTCTGCTGATTAGAGCAAAACATTCATGGAAGCAAGCATATCTGCATACATCGGACCAGTGTTTGCACAGCCATACTTACAGCTGACACCAGAGTCGCTGTCGCTAGAGGCACCTGCCTCTGTGAAAAGAAACAGATGGGTTAAGAAAATTAAATAAAGCCTTTTTTGTTTTACAATACCTTAAAAGACATCTACAATCCAGATTCACAATCAAGCAAAGCATGTAATGGGTTGCAAAAGTATTCACGTCTGTTGGTAAGTCTATATTTCATCTTAAAAATGGAACATATTTTTTATTTGAATCAATCAATCAGCTTTATTGTCAATTCTACCAAATGTACAGCACATTTCTACAGAGAATCACAATTGCAATTTCTCTCTGACCCCAAGTGCAAAATATCGACATTTAAAAGCATTTGCACATGCCTTTGGAATGACTAATTATTGATTATCAACTGCTATTGAAATAGCTACCTTCGCGAGGATTACTTTACAATGATCTACAATTGTTGACTTAACCAACTTCTCAGGATATGCTCCTGTCTTCACTGGCATGAGGGAACGCTTTCTCACTCCAGCCTTCACCTGGACTGCAACAGCTTCTTCAGAAAGAAAGTCCCTTCATGTCTCTGGTGCTCAACGACAGGTGGTTTCTGCGACCGCCTACCATTGACCAGGGGGTCTGTAGCGTCACGAAGGTCCTCTAATTTGTGACAAAGGTCACATTATCCCAGCTAGGTCAAGCTGGGTCAGACTGTAACTTTTGGTTCCACAGATTAATCCAGGAGTCATGATGGCTGCGGAATATCATTTTTATCTGCTGCTGTTCCATCCCAGATTGAAGGGCACTTCAAGATCACAATGATAATTTAAATAATTATTTTAATAAACTCTTTGACTTTATTACTGTTTATTATAATCATCATAAATAATCTCTTGGTTCAGTATAAATGTATTTTAATTACTGAAATGAATTATTATTGTTTGGGTATAATTATTATTATTCATGATAATCAGTAATGTGTGTTCAGTAAACCAGAAGGTCATTTGCACGTTAACCAGCCTCATTCAGAGGGTATCCAGGATAAAGGTTAACTGCCATCAAGTCTTTGACTCATGACCAAAGCTTTCTTGCTCTGAGAGTGGGCGTGTTCTGAGGGGTTTGTTAAGACTAAATTTCCAGCAGCAAAAGTTCAGTTCGAGAACCAACCACCATCCTGAGGATAAGGGAACGGCCGCCCTGAAGCCTCTACCTGCTGTTTGGTCACGCTGATAGAATAGCTTAGAATAAACGGACCTGTAACCAGCTGATGCAAAACTCCTTCAGAGTTATTGATTTTTAAGTAAGATGCAAAACTTCTTCAGAATTAAGCCAGAACGCTCGACACCGTGTACCCGGCGACATCTCTGGACCAGAGGATCGGTTCTACTCGCGTCTTCTCTACCGGACCGAGTACCCTGAGGCTAACAACATCCTCCTTGACCTCCGGATCCACACAGAGGGTCGTCTTGCTGGGTGAGGTAGCAAACAGATTGTGTTTGATGCTGTCTTTCTAAGAAACGACTCAGTTAGCTGCGAAACCATCATTTCACCCAGAACAAGTTCCTCTCTCTGACAGAAACCTTCTGAGAATCCATTCACGCATCCAAGCTCTCATTTCATTTTAGCTTTCCATCCAGACACAGGTAAATATTTTGATACCAAGTTTAATATCAAAGCTGGTAAATTGTCATCCATGAATTGTCATTTAAATCATAAAGTTTAAAATTGTTAGTAATAAATTCTTCATTTTTAAACTGCCTCATCTTTGAAATGAAACACAGAACGGTATAAATATTTCTGGTTATTGAAAAAGCAAAGATTCCTAACTTCTGATTCAAAAATAAACTTTTGCTATTAAATTTAATTATCTTAAATTTAACATTAATCTGTGGATTAAATATAGACCAAGCAGGTCGGTGTCTGAATTGGGGGTGCGCGAGCTGCCGCTAGGGGGCGCGCGAGGTGAAGAGTGCGGAGCTCAGAGAAGTCTGTCACATGTCACCATTAGCGTAGCCAGAAACTCATTTGTGGGTGGGCCTAAGAAAAAGTAAGTGGGCTCAATTAAAGCAATTGAAAACAAGTATATTTTGCTTGTGTGTGTGTGTGTGTGTGTCCTCATCGCTCCGAGCTTCAGCACTCTGGCCTGCACACGCTGTTAATAGCAAGATATGTTCAGTATTTGATCATTGTTATCGGTGTTGGAGAAATCTGAAGGTGGTGAGTCATTCTGGCAGATTGTAATTAACACCTGTCTCATGCAGGTGTTCTGACATTGTAAACCTCACACACAGAACATTGTGGATGTAACTAAATAAATCAAGAAATGATTCCCATCTGAGCATTTTAGCATTATTATATTATTTTATTAGCACACTGACTGTGGGACAGCATTCTAACAGCGCGCTGAAGATCTGAAGTTCAGAGTGCGTCTGTCAGAGGTCAGACGCGTTCCGCGGAACCACGGCTCACGGGTGCACATGTGAGCACATCTGGGCTGGGCAGAAGTAATTTTACAACATTGGTTTAAATAGCGCCAATAACGATACGCGGTGACTGGAGCGGCTCATGGAGCTGTGCCGCACACACACACACACACACACACACACACACACACACACACACACATATTCAACAAGCGCACGTTGCGCTGTGCCGTCAGACTGAAGGCAGAAATGAGCGCTGCCTCCTCCGTGATAAAAAACTTTTAAGAGGTTTTATAACAACATTTTTCATTCAAGGTCAAATTAAGATATTAGCTTCTATTTTGGGATGACGTATTAAAGTCGGTCCGCTCCAGCCAGTGACTGCTCATGAACCTGACCACAACTCATGTTACTGCAGCATTTGTTCTTCCAGTCCGCGTGGCAGCGGATCGCAGATTCAGCCGCACCATAAAACAGCAATAAGTCGGTCTGAGGCAAAAGTGAACCTCATGGCTATAGCTTTTCCATCTTTTCCCCTATAGACATTTGATTACGCACAAGTAGGTGATCAGTTCAGGTTTACACAGAGCAGAAGGAAGGAGAGCGCTCTGGTTAAACGTTCCTGCTTTAAGAAAACCGTTAAATTGCATTGTTTATGTGTTACCTGGGCACTCTAAATATTGATTTAAAATTAAATCAAGGGAAATTGTAATGGTATTGAATGTTTATTAATTACTATTTCAAAAATACATAATACATACACATAAAAATGAAAGTGATGGGGAAAAAGGTCAATCATATTTTTTTAACCCTGTCTGTGGTGTGACTGGTTAGCGTGACGTCTGATATATATTTATATATATATGGCTATATATGGATATATATATATATATATATATATATATATATATATATATATATATATAACCATGCCCTGATGTGGGGCTGGGGGGGTGCGTCGACATGGTCGGGACATAGACGAGGGTGCGCGACTAAATAAGTTTGGGAGCCACTGTTATACATGACATAAGCTTCATATGCTAATGTGCTTGATCATTCTCAGAATCTAACAACTGATAGCTAACAGTGTTGACTCTAGTATGTAGAATACGCTACATCCTGCAGGAATGGAGTGATGGCCAGTTAATGAGTGAGTACAGATGACAATGATGAGTAGTGAAAGGGCACCAGTGATGAAACAGATTGTTGAGTGATAAATCTTTCTGGTTATTCAATTTAGGATTAAGTATTACAGAAGATGAACTAATGAATAATAATAGGTTCAAAAACACAAAGCTGTACTTACTTTGCACATCCTAGTGAGTAGTAGTTGGGGAGGGACCTGAAGATGAAACTGAAGAAGATTATATTAATAAGGACAGAGTTAACATATTTTTATACTTTATATAGGTTTACATACCTATGTATAATAAAATAAAAAATGTTATTACATACAAAAGAACACTTAACCATTAAAAGCCAACAGAGTACTTACTTGAACAAGCATACAACTCGTTCAAGCTAGCTTTACGTGACCAATTCCACCTTTTCTGGGATCCACTGATTTCCCTCTTGTCATTTTCCCTTCCCTTACATGTTTTAATCAATTTCTTTGTTTCTCACTTTAACAATATATTTTTATAATTTTTTATTATCTTTTTTATATTTTTTATTTTTGTTCTTGTAAAGCGTCTGATGATTTTAACTTGAGAGCCGCCCCCGGACGACACACGGCAGAGTAACGGAATGAAATGACTGTTTCCCCTCTCCTCTGCACAGAGCTAGTATGCATGAGATACGGTCTCAAGGTCTCATGCATTTGCTTCTAACCTGCTTCTTTTCAGTTCAACAGAATAAAGAATGGACTCACTTCTTTTAATTAATCAAAGAACTCTATTTTAATAAAGCTAATCATGCAAAGTGTTAGTCAATAAATAAGATCTGACCAATCTGTGAAATCAAAATATTAATTACTTTATTATAATCCTATAGAATATAAAGGTAATATGACTTTAAATGTTCCAATAGGACTGATCTCACTTAGCGTTAAGAGACATGACACATTACTTTCACTGATCCAATCAGAATCTGCCAGATCTGACGGAGGCGTGGTTTTGATGGTGTTTGGTAAATCTGTCAACTTTTCATTCGACCATAAACCAAAACATCCTAAGTATAAAACTATGCCCACGTCATCTTTAACGCCAGTTCAAAACGTTCTAGAGAAGTTGTTGGAGTGGCCAATCCATAGCTTTCCTCTTCAGCCGAAAGAACCAACGACAAGCTGGATAAAATCTGTTGCTGTTTCAACTGCTGCAACGGTTCCTTTCAGAATAAAAGCTGAACCACCGAGATTTGGGTCTCACCAGACGCCAACAAAATTGTCGTGACCCGGAAGTATCTCAAGACGGGTGGTCGGCTGGCGTGGCTGCTTCTACAGGCACCGGTTCCATAAAGGTCAAGCTGGACCTTTACACCTCCTGATCTAGACGGGGATTTCTGCTCAGGGTATGTAGACCAGTAAATGGCGTCGAACGTGTTTATGAATCTCCTCCAAAGCTTAGCGCAAAGACATCACCTTCAGTTCCCATCAGAACTAATCGCTTCTTCAGATTTGCTGGTTCTGAGCAACATTATATGTCACACCATTCTCCATCTCTTCCACCTTAGTTACACCATACATTTAGTGTTTAAAGTTAGTCTAGTTTCATTTGTTTAGTAATAAATTTTTTAACTTTTAAACTTGACTCTCTCTCTCCTGTTGTCTCTGAGTGAATACGAAGCTGTTATCTAATCCTTGCATTAAAAAGTTCCAATCTTCTGCTTTAAAATAACCTCACAGATCCATAAGGTTGATTTCATATTTACTATGGAATCCTACGCCTTATGGCTTATTAAATAACATGTAATTTAAATCATTACAGCAGCCTAACGGTCCGCGCTCGACACAATTTAATGCTTTTTTAATATTTTAAGACCCCGCGGCTATTCCGGAGTGTTTTCCAGGTTGGGAAACTCTTCTTTCAGAGTCTTGCCAATATCTGATTAATTCATTTGGACAAATGTTGTTTTGATGCTGTATAAATTCAGTTCAATGGCAACAAAGCAGTTTTCCTCATAGCGATTCAGTTTCACACATAATTTTTGAGTACTTTATTAAGACGCAAGAAAAAGTATTCATTTTCCCTTTAAAACTATCTTACATTTAAGTTTTTGTACAGCTGCAAAGAAATCTTTATTATCGGATTATATCATCTTCAAATATTACAAATGCTTGTTTTCTTGTGGTATAGTCTTATAATAATAACAACAACCACAATAAAAATAATAACAATAACAATAATAATAATGATAAAACTACTACAAAACAAGAAAATAATAATAATTATTGTTACTAGTTGGTTAAATCTCAAAATCTCTTACCATTCATCAAGGACATATTCTCCTCTTCAGCATTCCTATTCATATCAACTGTGTAAACACAGACACACAATACAAAGTAAACTCTCTCTCTCTCTATATATATATACACACACACACATACATATATACATATATATATATATACACATACATATACATACATATATATATATATACATATATATATACACATACATATACATACATATATATACACATACATATATACATATATTTATACACACACACACACACACACACATATATATATATATATATATATATATATATATATATGTATATTAGGGCTGCAACAAACGATTATTTGGATAATCGATTAATCGGATGGGGTCTCGACACGATTAATCGATTAATCGGATTACATGGGGAAATTTTTAAAAACTGCTAGGGAAACGTTATTTCTCTCCTTCCTTCACTTTATTTAACACAACATTATTAGAAAACAGTTCAATAGCAGAAAAACAACATGCCATCACCTAAATTGTCTTATAAGGTGTATAGACAGAGACCCTAAGCTAAATCTATCTGTGACCTAAAATGCTTGGTCCAAGTTAAACAGCTTAAGGGCAATTCTCATCTGTTTTGTTTGATCTCATCTGTTGACATTTATTTTAAATGTAATTAAACATAGGCTGTGAATTAATCAAAATTGATCACTATTTCCAAAAATGACTGAAAAAATACCAAATAAAACAAAAGTAAATGAATGCCATCCTCCTTGCGATGATGCCCTGGGCAACTGCCATAAAGTCACATCAAGAAATGCTGCTGATCATTCCAATGATCCCAAATAGACTCACATTAGGCCACATGAAAGCAACTGAACCCAAAAATATATTAACCAGTATATAACTGCACTCTCACACAACATGCCTGAAGCAACAGTTAGGACTCCTCCCTCCCTTTTAAAAGCGTTTTTGCTTCTGAGGACATTGTGGTTGTAAAACCACATGCTAGTAGTCTGGCCCCGGTGTGATCAACCAGTTTCTGCGGGAATGTGACGGCGGAACCAGGGCCAGATTAACACTTTGTTGTACCCTGGGCAACAATATTCAAGGGCTCCATCATCACGACCCAAGGATCACCATAATGTGGTCACATACAGAATATTTTACTGTAATATGCAGTAAATATACTCAATACTTGAATGCCTGACAACACGTAACCCGCCCAGAGTAACCTTTGACCCACCTCATGTGGACTGACCAATGAGGAGAGGGTCTTAACTTGAGGCCCTCTCTTCATTGGTCAGTCTGCATGAGACTGACTCTCAACTGACGTTCAGTCATAGGCAGCAAAGCGTCTCTGTGCAGCGCAAAAGCCCGGGTGGACAGTTTGTTTAATGTAGGGTGACCATATTTCCATTTCCAAACAAGAGGACAGGGGATCTGTGCCTATGACGTCACACTATGGCAACGCCACACAAACCATGTTGGGACCCATTTTTTGTAAGAACTAAATTAATATCAGATTCTGCCAATAAAAGGGCTCTAAAACAATTCATATGTAAATATTTTGCATATTTAATGCAAAATCTAATTTTTCTGCTTTAGTGCTGCAACAAGGTTTTATTAATAATAAATTATTATACCTTTTGTTTTACTACAGCATCGGTAAGCTTCCTGTGCACAGATTATTAAGGATTCTTGTTTCAGCTGTGAGATTAGACGATAGGATCAATGAAAAAATAAGTTGTCACACACTCCATGGAAACTTTCAGAGAATCCACAAATAGTGGCTTTCAAATGGTTTTGTTACTTTTAGCATGTTTATAAAAGCAGCAGATGAGACAGCATGTCTGATAATTTAGTTTTTCATCTGATAATATTAGAACATGTCAGTAATGTCTGAGGGGCTTTTATAAACACCATATAACTAACACTACTGGAGAGGGTATGGATTACACAGAGGCTTCTGGGGAGCCCAGTTATGGGGGGGGGGGGGGGGGGGCATTTTGCCTTGGCCCCCAAAATGTCTTGAAACGGCCCTGGGTGTGTGACTGAGTTTTGAAGGTGATCTGAATTGTATCAGATGTATAAATATAACATGTGTAGAACTTATTGTTTTTTACTGGTAAAAACGTGTCGTGGAGATAAATCTACCTACATTTGACTTTTCAACACTTTGTTTTGTCTTCTTGTTTTTATGTAACTATTTTCCTGTCCTGTCTGTCTCTCATCTTCCTGCATCTCCTCATAATTCTCCAGAAAATCTGTTGCCTGGATTCTTACCTTTTCACCTCATCAGTTACTTTTGAGCAGATCTAAGGGATCTCCTGACTGAAAAGCGCAGAGCGCGTTTTCGATGCTGCGTGAGGTGACATCACCGCAGCACAGGTGATGAGCTCCGCAGTAGCGAGCTTCAGGCACAAATAAGACAGAAAATAGAGAACATGTGCGGACATGAACGATCGTGTGCTAATTATAGTTTTTTGGTTGCGCCACTTTGAGAATGGACCGTGCGCTGGAAGCAGCTGCCTGGATCGCTGCGCGACAATGCGGAACCGGTTCGCAGCAGCGCAAGTCTGCCGGCTCTCCCTGCGCTGATCTGCGGCTCTCCCTCGCGCTGATCTGCGGCTCTCCCTCGCGCTGATCTGCGGCTCTCCCTCGCGCTGATCTGACTTGCTCTGGTCTGCGCGCAACGGCGGGCGGGAAGGGGGGGGGCGCTTTTGGAAGAGTTGTGCGACACAACGAATTGATGACGCAATTCGTTGCCAACGCTTTTAGTAATCGATTTTCATCGAATTTATCGATTCGTTGTTGCAGCCCTAGTATGTATGTATGTATGTATATGTATATAGAATATTTATAGAAAACAGCAGGATTTACAATCAGACATTCATGATAGTTGGACATCTCGCCTCTGGCTAACAGCAATACAACTCTAACACTGACTCTGTTTGCGCTGCAACATTAATGTTTTATCTCAGACGTTCTGCGTTGTTGTGGAGTGGCTAATGCTAATCTTAGCTTCTATCGAAAAACATTAAAAATGAATCAGGAATAAGGAAAGCAGGGAGAAACTTCATTTTACATTTTTCACTGGTTAAAAAAATTAGATTTTGAGTTTTCATCACATTTAGCTAGTGCTTTGTTTAAAATATCTTCAAATTTATTCATGTAATTTTTTTATGTTGCAGGGTTTGGAACAACAATCATAACAGAACAAAAAAATTACTTTCATGGTTTTGATTTTTTTAGAAATGTGTTTTACACACTAAACGTAATTTAAATGACATTCTACGCTTTTAGGATTATTTATTCTGCTACAATATATCTGATGTAGGAGAATCTCATGTCATTTTGACATGTACAAACTGAAATATATATATATATATATATATATATATATAATACTCTCGTCTCTCTCGTCTTCCTCCGCTTATCCGGGTCCGGGTCGCGGGGGCAGCATCCCAACTAGGGAGCTCCAGGCCGTCCTCTCCCCGGCCTTGTCCACCAGCTCCTCCGGCAGGACCCCAAGGCGTTCCCGGACCAGATTGGAGATGTAACCTCTCCAACGTGTCCTGGGTCGACCCGGGGGCCTTCTGCCGGCAGGACATGCCCGAAACACCTCCCCGGGGAGGCGTCCAGGAGGCATCCTGACCAGATGCCCAAACCACCTCAACTGGCTCCTTTCGATCCGGAGGAGCAGCGGTTCTACTCCGAGTCCCTCCCGAATGTCCGAGCTCCTCACCCTATCTCTAAGGCTGAGCCCGGCCACCCTACGGAGGAAACTCATTTCGGCCGCTATATATATAATATATAATATATATTATATATATATATAATATATATATATTATGTATATATATATAATATGTATGTATATATATATATATATATTTATATATATATATATATATATATATATATATATATATATATATATATTATGTATATATATATATAATATATATACACACACACACATACATATATATATATAAATACATATATACATATATATACATATATATATATATATATATATAAATACATATATACATATATATACATATATATATATATATATATATATATATATATATATATACACACACACACATTATATATATATATATATCCTCTAATATTGGCCTGTATTCAATTAACGGCCGGGTATCATATTTTGGCCGGTGTCAGAGTCGGCGGAGGTGAATAATGGCCGGTATTTTATTGTGGCCGGGTGGAATGTGATAACAAGCAAGTACTGGGGCGGTTGTGTCATCCGTCTCACTTTTGATTTGCCAGTGATAGACCGCGAGGGTAACTTTAAACGTGCGGAGACAAAGAGGAGGCGAAAATTTGATATCAAGTTCAAAGAGAACGTGCTGATTATGTTGCAGAACACTCTGGGGAGCAGTAGCAGGGGTTGTATGAACTAGTCGACTTCACTATAGGGACTTTTTATGCCTGTCATTGACTAGTCGCTGTCACGTGATAATGACCGGCAAGATGCAGCCCTCGGAAAAGACAGCAGCCTGCTGTCAGCAGGTGACAAGCTCCTGCGCTCAGGGGGGCAATGCGCCGTGCCAGAGCGTCGGTACCTACACACGATCGTTCATGTCGGCTCATTTCCTTTAATGTTCTCTGTCTTTTATTTGCGCCTGATGCGTTTCACTGTGGAGCGGGGCGCATCACCTTGTCCTCCGGTAAAGCACCGATCACTGATGCGGCCGCCAAGCAGCGAGCACTCCGCTGTTTTTGCGGTCGTTAGATCTTTTAGAACTGCAGTTCAAAGGTAACTCATAAGGTGAATATATATGAACCCAGGTAGCAGTTTTTCTTTAGGATTGAGAGGAGATGCAGGAAGATAATAAACAGACAGGACAGAAAAATAGTCAAATAAAAACAAGTTAGTTTTTGTACCTGGTGGTTGCAACAAACAGACACCATTGAAGGTAATCAGAAGTGAGGAACAGAAAATGAAATAATTATTTTAATGTTTAGAGCAGCAGGAACTCCGAGAGGCTGCAGGCGCATCAGAAGCAGAAACTACCGATGTTAAAAGAAATGTGTTAACTTAGAAAATGTGGGCGCAATTTTAATTGTCAAAAACTCCAGCGAACCATTAGTTCATTTTGCTCAAATAGAAATAGAGGCCTGCCTCTAATTCTGGCCCTCCTTCCAATAAAGGCCTGGAGCTTGATGAGCTTGAGTAAAATACAGACCCGGTCCTGTATTAGAGGATTTACGGTACATACATACATACATATATATATATATATATATATATATATATATATATATATATATATGAGTGAATGATCATATTTGAAACAGAAAAAAAACAGGTAAAGAAAATAAACATCCAGTACCTATAAATAAACATTTTCTTTGTCACACTAAGAAGCCATTTTTAATTTTTTTTTTTTCTGATTATAATTGGTCACTCTTACTCTAGATTTTCCTGAGGTGTTTGACTGGTTGCCTCCATTTTGTCCCCGTTATGGACTAGAGATCTGTACCAGGGTGTCAAATACCTCTCACCTTATGATTACTGGATTTAGACACCAGCTCCCTTTTTCTGACTTTAGTGTTACAGAAGATAAATGAATGAAAAATTATAGTAGTTGCAAAACATATATAGGTGTACTTACGTTTCACACTGAGATTAGAAGAAGCTGGAGAGGGTTTTGAAGAGCTATCTGTAGAGGAATCTGGGGTTAACACACCTTTTCTTTCTGAAAGATTGAAGCAGAATAAAATAATTTAGAAGAAAAAGAAAATTAGGAACCTGCCAAATTAAAGAGCACTTACTTGGACTCGGGTTACAAGCTGTCAATAAAGAAAACAAATGAAATTAATTATACAAGTGACCAGTTTAATAAAACTTGAAAACTTTCATTTAACGATTTTTAATTAGATAAGAAATGTATTAAAAGTATGCTGATTCACAGAATCCACTCCAATTTGATAAACATGACACAAGGAAGACAAAATAGTGAGATTATCATTTGAAAAAAAATAAAATAAAATAAAAAACACTAAATTTTATCTTGGCTTTGATACGTGAACACAAACCATCTAGTGATACAGAAAATATCAACTGGAACTAACCTAAAATAAACCCTAAATAAATGGTCTCGCAGTGATTCAGTTTTACTATTTTAGAGTGATCTTTGATCACCTCATAAAAACCATAAATCACACAGACCTTTGCACCTCATATTGGACGAGTTTTATATTTTAGCTTTTGTACATCTGTAAAGGAACCTTGAGGTTCTCAAAAATTACTTTGTTATTTTCAGATATTACCGATGTTTGTGTTCTCTTACATGATATGATAAAACAATAGTAACTTACGATCTCTGCACTTCTTCCTCCTATAAAGGACAAATCCCACAATGGCTCCGATAACCACAAAGCTTGCTACAACAACAACAGCAATAATGGGTGCGCTGCCGTCCTCCACAGGCAGAGCGTGATCTGAACGAAAGAAAATATTGAGTTTTAGTTTGATTGTCTGATCTCTTTCAGTATTTTGTAATTTAACTTTATTCATCTTGCCTCTAAAAACCTCTAGAATTAAAATATCTACTTTAAAACAATTAATAAAACAAAACTGAATTTAGATAAAAAATTACTTAATTAATTTTGCTAGTTTTTTATAAACTGGACCTGTGATTAAAACACAAAGGTCACACAGTCTGAAGGAACTTTGTCTCATGAAACTAAATGGTTGCAAATGACAGAAAAGAGAGTCGTTTTTACCCCAGGCCTTTTGAACATGAAGAAGGGAGCCAGGATGCTGAACCTCACAGGTGTAAGTGGACAAATCTGTCTTCAAAATCTCAACACGGTCTTTCCTCTGGAAGGTGTCGTCCTCATTTGGACGAACTCCAGACGTCTCCAGTCCATCGTCTTTAGTAAGGATGCGACCGTTTCGTTTGATCTGCAGGATGATGTCTTTAGGATAGAAGCCAGTGGCCAGGCACGTCAAGATAATGTTCTTCTCACTCTTGCTTTTTTGTGAGAACAGGTGCACATCAGGCTTACCTGGAAACAAATATCGATGTTAACTACATCTAAATACATTTTTTTGTCAAAACTAAAAGTTAAAACTCAGTAACTTGTTGTGTTTTATACATACTGGCTTTTCGAAGCTGCTCTTTGCCGTAGTCCCTGAACTTGCTCATCCAGCCCATACACTCCTTCTCCAGGTAACCCTTGGTGTATTCCTTCAGGACTTGAACATCATCCCACTTCCTCTTGGTTTCTTTAGCTGCATCAAGTGTAGCTACCCAAACTTGGTTGTGATCGTCGAAGGACAGGAAGTCATTTCCGTCATAGTTGTACATGTCCATCCCACGGATGAACCTAATGGTACCATCCTCCTGACTCTCACCCTCACAGCCGTGCATCCACTGAAGAACGTGGGTATCTACAGGCAAATAAATGATCAAAACACCCAAAAAACGCACCTTCAGGGAAGACAGGACTTCAACATTACAACTGGAAACCTCTCACTAAAATCACTCATATTTAGCATTTATTTTTCTCATGCAAGATAATTTTTGAAACATAAATTTAACTTTAATGATTAAAGTTATTGTCTCATCGTTGGACATTACCCGTGTCATTCTGTCTCATCCGTTTCATCAAGATGTCGATGTTGACCTTGAACCACTGCTGCTTGCTCTTCCTGGACTGTGTACCTTTATCCCAATAGTCTTGTCCAAGATGCTCTGACATCCACGTCTGTTTGGGAATTTTCTTTTGCTCTTTGCTGTCATAGTAGTCAATCATCCTGTTGTCCAGCATTCCCATGGCCGTGAACTCATGGAAACCCGGGAGGTCCACAGGTTTGGAGAAGGCCGTGTAGATGTAGGTCAGGGAGTGGCGTTCTGAAAATTGTAAATGAAGTAAATATGCCTTATGTACTTTGTCAGGGTTACAAGTATCATTACACTTGATTAGAGCTTCGGATTATCATTTATCCCCAAATACTTAATAACCATTTTCAAAAAAAGTATCATTTGGTAAATATGCTGATTTTTTTTTTTTTGACAAAATGTTTTGTCCGACATTTTGGCTCTGAAAGAAAATGTAGGTGAATTTCTTCTGAGCGTTTGTAGCTCGCACCGGAACGATAAACAGCTCCGTTAGACATTTATGATGGGCTCATCACATGGTCTACCTGTCATCTGATTGCCCCGCCTTTACCTGGAAACAGGAAACTCTAAAAACATGACCTCATAACTCTATGGCAGCTTGTTTTAATACAAGTTTGATATATAGCTTTACATATCTAACTCATGATTTAATATCTTGCCAGATCATCGTATAATAATCGCATTATTTAAGAATGAATTCTTTAGATTGAGGGGGAATTGTAATTAGTTTTCACAATTTACTAAAGACTACTTATAATACTCCTCCTTGAACCGTCACCTTATCGTGGTGGAGGAGTTTGAGTGCCCTAATGATCCTAGGAGCTATGTTGTCTGGGGCACTTTGTGCCCCTGGTAGGGTCTCCCATGACAAATTGGTCTTAGGTGAAGGGTGAGACAAAGAACGGTTCAGAGGACCTTTCATGGATGTAAATTCAAAGAGTCGGAGTACCCGGCCCGGAGGGTTTCCGGGGTTCCACCCTGGAGCCAGGCCTGGAGTTGGGGCCCGTGAGCGAGCGCCTGGTGGCCGGGCTTTCGCCCATGGGGCCCGGCCGGGCCCAGCCCGAACTGGATACATGGGCTCATCCAACTGTGGACCCACCACCCGCAGGAGGAACATGAAGGGTCCGGTGCAGTGTGGATCGGGTGGCAGACCGAAGCGGGAGCCTAGGCGGTCCGATCCCTGGACAAGGAAACTGTTTTTTGGGACATGGAACGTCACCTCACTGGCGGGGAAGGAGCAGGAGCTTGTGGCAGAGGTTGAGCGGTACCGGCTAGATATAGTCGGACTCACCTCGACAAATAGCATGGGCTCTGGAACCCAAGTCCTTGAGAGGGGTTGGACACTCTCCTTTGCTGGAGTTGCTCTGGGTGAGAGGTGGAGGGCTGGGGTTGGCTTTTTGTTAGCCCCAAGACACTCTGCCTGTGTGGGGGACGAGAGGGTAGCTTCCCTGCACCTTCGGGTCGGGGAACAGGTCCTGACTGTTGTTTGTGCTTCTGGGCCAAATATCAGTTCAGAGTACCCACCCTTTTTGGAGTCCCTGGGACAAGTGCTAGATAGTGCTCCATCAGGGGACTCCATTGTCCTGCTGGGGGACCAATGTGCACGTGGGCAATGACAGCTTGACCTGGAGGGGTGTGATTGGGAGGAACCTGATCTGAACTCGAGTGGTGTTTCATTATAGGACTTCTGTGCAAGACGCAGTTTGGCCATAACGAACACCATGTTCGAACATAAGGATGCCCATCGGTACACTTGGTACCAGGGCAGCCTAGGTAGCAGGTCGATGATAGACTTTGTTGTCGTATCATCTGACCTGCAGCCATATGTTGTGGACACCCGAGTGAAGAGAAGAACGATGTTGTCAACTGATCACCACCTGGTGGTGAGTTGGATCAGATGGCAGGGGAAGATGCCGCGTAGACCTGACAGACCCAAACGCATAGTGAGGGTCTGCTGGGAACGCCTTGCAGAAGAACCTGTTAAGAGGGTCTTCAACTCCCACCTCCGGCAGAGCTTTGACCGCGTCCCGAGAGCAGTGGGGGACATTGACTCAGAGTGGGCCTTGTTCCACTCTGCGATTGTTAAAGCAGCTGTTGCTAGCTGTGGTCGCAAGGTGGCCGGTGCCAGTCGTGGTGGCAACCCCCGTACCCGCTGGTGGACACCAGAGGTTCGGGGAGCCGTCAGGCTGAAGGAGGCGGCCTACAGGGCATGGCTGGTCTGTGGGTCTCCAGAGGCAGCAGACAGGTACCGGATAGCCAAGCGGGGTGCAGCACTTGCAGTTGCAGAGGCAAAATCTCGGGCGTGGGAGGAGTTTGGTGAGGCCATGGAGAAAGACTATCGATTGGCTCCAAAGAGGTTCTGGCAAACTGTCCGGCGCCTCAGGAGGAAGGCAGCAACTCGCTCACACTGTTTACAATGGGGATGGGGAGCTGCTGACGTCAACTGGGGCTATAGTCGGACGGTGGAAGGAATACTTTGAGGAGCTCCGCAATCCCACCTACGCGCATTCCGAGGAGGAACCAGAGCCGGGAGACCTGGGGATGGACTATCCAATCTCGGGGGCAGAAGTTGATGAGGTAGTCAAACAACTACACAGCAGCGGAGCCCCGGGGGCGGATGAGATTCGTCCAGAGTATCTCAAGGCTATGGATGTTGTAGGGCTGTCGTGGATGACACGTCTCTGCAACATTGTGTGGTCACTGAGGGCAGTTCCTGTGGAGTGGCAGACCAGGGTGGTGGCGCCCATCTTTAAGAAGGGTGACCTGAGGGTCTGTTCCAACTATAGGGGGATCACACTCCTCAGCCTCCCTGGAAAGGTCTACTCCAAGGTACTGGAGAGGAGGGTCCGATTGATAGTTGAATCTCAGATAGAGGAGGAGCAATGTGGTTTTCGTCCTGGCCGTGGAACTGTGGACCAGCTCTATACCCTTGCAAGGGTGATGGAGGGGGCAAGGGAGTTTGCTCAACCAATCCACATGTGCTTTGTGGATTTGGAGAAGGCTTATGACCGTGTCCCCAGGGGCACCCTGTGGGGGACGCTCCAGGAGTATGGGGTGGGTGGCTTTCTGTTAAGGGCCATTCAGTCCCTTTACCAGAGGAGAGTGAGTTTTGTCCACATAGCTGGTAGTAAGTTGGACCTGTTCCCGGTGAGGGTTGGACTCCGCCAGGGCTGCCCTTTGTCACCGGTTCTGTTCATTACCTTTATGGACAGAATTTCTAGGCGCAGCCGTGGTGCTGTGTGTCGAGTTTGGTGGCAGGAGAATCTTGTCTCTGCTTTTTGCGGATGATGTGGTCCTCCTAGCTTCATCCAGCTCTGACCTTCAGCTCTTGCCGGGTAGGTTCGTGGCTGAGTGTGAAGCGGCTCTGATGAGGATCAGCACCTCCAAATCTGAGACCATGGTTCTCGACCGGAAAAGGGTGGCTTGCCAACTCCGGGTCGGGAGAGAGGTCCTACCTCAAGTGGAGGAGTTTAAGTATCTCGGGGTCTTGTTCACGAGTGAGGGTAGGAGGGATCGGGAGATCAACAGGCGGATTGGTTCTGCGTCTGCAGTGATGCGGACGCTGAGCCGATCTGTAGTGGTGAAGAAGGAGCTGAGCCAGAAAGCCAGGCTCTCGATTTACCGGCCAATCTACGTCCCAGTCCTCACCTATGGTCATGAGCTTTGGGTAATGACCGAAAGAACGAGATCGCGGATACAAGCGGCCGAAATGAGTTTCCTCCGTAGGGTGGCAGGGCTCAGCCTTAGAGATAGGGTGAGGAGCTCAGACATTCGGGAGGGACTCGGAGTAGAACCGCTGCTCCTCCGGATCGAAAGGAGTCAATTGAGGTGGTTTGGGCATCTGGTCAGGAGAGAGGGTGCTCGCTGCAGAACCACAAAGGCGGAGCTGCACCAGTCAGCCCCGCCCATTCACGCAAACAGCCTAGCCCACTGACTTCTTCTGTTTTTTTATTTTATTTGATCGCAAACTAACCTGACCCGCATGAATTACGGCTGTTACTAGTTTACAACTGTTAATGCTATGTTCTATGCTCCAATTAAGCAAGATAAATATAACTTGCTACATGACAAAGCCTGAATATATCCCGAAATGAAAAGGTTTCTTTTAGTGAATATCTGTCCATAGCCGCTCCAACAGAACCGGGGTAAATCAGCATTTAAGGACAGTGTTTAGTGTGTTCTGGTAGTCCATTGGCAAGAGCGTCAATTTTAAGTTTTGCTTTCCCCTCAGCTGATGCTGGTTCGACTCTCGGTGGGGTCGGCAGCAATCTATTTAGCCAGCTGAAACATTTAATTTGTTTATATTTTAGTTGTAATGTTTATTTTCTGCAAAAAATTTATGTCTCTAAAAGTTATTTGAATTTGGTCGTTCCTAAACAGCATTTTAGTTGAAATTCTGCTCACAAATGGACTCACACTGGCTAAATAAACGAATAAATAAAAAACAAACACATTAGTCATTATATTTTAAAAGGTATACCAATAAATGGTTAAAAACAGTACTGCAATTGTAGCTAGAAAAGAAGAAAAAAGTTTGCACCACTACCGGGAGGCGAACCTGCGCAAATCTGACTCCATAACCACTTCACCACTACGTCTGATAACAAGCAAGTGGCGTCACATGTAATTGTGCCATCCGGTGTGTCTTTGTAGATGGGATGTATGGTTTTTCTAGCGGTGTCTCAGTAGACGTCATTTCAGAAATAATTTGTCAGAAAATTCACAGAATATCCAGATTTGAGAATCAAGATCAGACCCACTTCGGGGGAGAGGACCAAATTGAAGCTGAGATGGGAGGAAAATGTGTGAATGAGGCCAAAAATGGCTTTGGCGTATTTCTTATGAGGAAATGACAATATAACATGGTAAAAAGTTCCAAAATTTAGATTTTTAATTGTATGGAACCTTTACAAAAACGGTTCAATTAACTTCTCAACTCCGTCCTCAAACTTGCATTTTAGATGATATTAGCTATAACACCCTCTATGGTTCCAGAATGCTATCAAGTCTGACAACTGGAAGGAATTGGGCTGACTCTGGTGCAGCTCCGCCTTTGTGGTTCTACAGCGAGCACCACTTGGGTCAGGATGCCTCCTGGACGCCTCCCTGGGGAGGTGTTTCGGGCATGTCCTGCCAGCAGGAGGGTCCCGGGTCGACCCAAGACACGTTGGAGAGGTTACATCTCCAATCTGGTCCGGGAACGCCTTGGGGTCCTGCCGGAGGAGCTGGTGGAGGTGGCCGGGGAGAGGACGGTCTGGAGCTCCCTAGTTGGGCTGCTGCCCCCGCGACCCGGACCCGGATAAGCGGAGCAAGACGACGACGACGACTACTTATAATATAAGTGACATGAAGGAGAAGTGGCTTATGACTGTCTTTAAAATTAACATATATTCATAACATGTATACTTTATAGTTAATAATCCAGTATTTACATTTAATAATCTGTAGATTTGAACGTATGTGTTGTTTTCTTGGGTGTTTCCAGCCCCGCTCCTGCAATGTTCCGCATGTTTGAGATTTTTCTTTGCTCCAACTAATCAGAAGTTGAGGTATAAATAACCTTCAAGGGTTATCTTCAAGGTTATAAATGACCCGTTATCTTAAACAGATGTGTTGGGACAACTGCACCATTTGAGACAGCGTACGTGTCTCGGGAGGAGCTGAGACTTTTATAGTTAGCTCTTATTTTAAGCTTTAGCCTTTTTATGAGCCAATCAACGCTGAGTAAACATAATGTGATCGTCTAAGTCGTTAAATAACAAAAATATAAATAACTACAAGTGACATTTCTACAGCATCACGAGATATTTTTAAGTTTCGTTTTCGACAAAAGCGACCGTGTGAGAAAATAAAATAACATTTACCGCTGTGGACCGTCGGTCCTGCCGCCAGAAGGACAAAAATAACGGAGGGCGAAATTATCAACATCATTTTGGTTCAATTCTTCGTCTGAAATGTGACTTTTGGACCTTTTTTCTCCCCTTGTTTTTCGCTGATGGGCGACCGTTGCTTCTGCTTCCTGCTTATGCGCGTGGTGCTTTCAAGGACCCTTGTACATTATTGTTTGTTGTGTTCTCTTACTGCGAAAAATAAATGCAGAGTGATCTCCGTTTATAATAATTATAATAATTTACTGAACCATTAAGCTACCAAACCGTTGAAATCACGTTTTATTACAATAATGCACGTTGTTTTGAACTATTGTTGATAATAAACACTAATTGAAATACAAACTCAACTTCTTCAGACTGAATTAATGCTTTTTTGCTTCAGTAGAAGTATATACAACTCATACCTTGAACCTTTTTGTGATAAAACACTAGACGTCCAAATTTAAAAGGATTGTTGAACGCTCCACATCAACTTCCTGGTGTCTCTGTGTGCGCGTTTCTACCGTAGACTTGACGTTAAGTATCCTATTGTCTGTAGTTTTTTCTTTTAGGACAAAATGTAAAGACTATGAGGCTTTGTTTCAATTATGCTGTTTCATAAAACTCGTCAAAAGATTGCAGCTTGCACGCAGGGATTTCGTAATCTGTTGCTAGGTAGATTACGTTGCTGCACGTTCGCAGATGAGACTACACGGTAGCAATAAACAGGTACCGGTAAGTGAATACTTATACTTTGTTGTATAAACATGGAAACATGTTTCTTAAAAATTTAAAGTTGCCCTTAAAAGCGTTGAACACTTTAGATGAATGAGTTTATGGATTTCTTACGAGTCTTTCCTGTGCTTATATACATTTGGGAATGTTTAAATAAAACAAGCTGAACATTTGACCTTCCCTAACTGTACCTTGGAATTATCATGAACATTTTCACATTTTTTCAGCATTACCTTATTGCTTTATCGAATAAAAACAAGGCAAACATATACATTTTCTTCACTGGCATGGAAGTTAAAAGGGTTAATGATTGTCTCAGCAGTTGGACACACACACACACACACACACACACTAACAAGATATACACTCAAAGAACATTTTACTTAATCATTTTTTATGTACGTAGTTTTATTTGATCTTTGGTAATCATGAAACATCAACAATATTAAAACTATTTTAATCATCTTGATAGATCTAGTTTGAAAACCCTTCTTGTCTCTTTCTCTTGTCCTCTGTATTCCAACATCTCCATCCCTTCTTTGCCTTTCCGTCCATCTTTTCCTCATTGATCTAAAACCAAATCTTCCTTTCTTGCAACTGACAGCTTGAAAATAAGCAAAATGTTAACATCATGAAAATAACACTTAAGAACCATCAACAGCCAAAATATACTTACTTCAACATGTAGGAAAAACCATTTGTAACCTGTAATAATGACAACAAATGAAAATATTTACAATCAAGGGACCAGGATCATGAAACCTAGAAAAACACCTGTTCTCAGACTCTGGATCTAGGTAACAAATGAAAATTATGCTAGCGAACAGATTCAATCCCAATCTGGTAAAAATATTTGTACACATCAGGGGGAGACAACTCCCTGTATGAGCGCAGCATGTTTTAGTCGTTTCCCTGCTTTAACACACATTTCAATCACCAGGCTTCTGCAGAGCTTGATGAGCCGCTCAACAGGTGAATGAATTGTGTTGCAGCAGGGAAACAACTAAAACATGTTGGGTACTGGCCCTCGGAGAAGGGAGCTGTCCACCCCTGGTGTATCGTAATGTGGAATGAGAAAGAAAAAGCAGCAGGATTCTCATTCGACCTTCACTAATTGTCAACTACATGTTGGTGTAAAACAGAGAATGGCAACTGGAGCTAACGTGTGTCCCTACTGTATGAATCGCAGTGGTTAGAAACCAGTCTGTCTCATTTATTGTGATCTTTGATCACTTCATAACAACCCATAATAAACCACACAGACCTTACCTCCTAGAAGACAGAAGCAGCAGTTTTACATTTTAGCCTTAGCACAGATGCAAAGGTACCTTGAAGTAGTTTTAATATCTTCAAATATTATCAGTGTTTGTGTTCTCTTGCATAACATCATCATCATCATCATCATCATCATCCTGCAGTCCTTGTTTCTTTCAAGCATAAATGCAACAGAGTCAGAAAACCATCAAGATGACCACAAAACAAAATCAGCGACTGACATTTTCCTCTGGAAGGGTGTGATCTAAAAAAAAAGATAGAAAACATTCCATTCAGTTTGAATTTCAGAGCTCATTCAGTATTATTTAGTTGAACTAGCCATCTTGCCTACTAAAATCTACAAGATTAAAATATATTTTCAAGACAAACATTGACCATAAAATCAAGTCATGAGCAATTAAATGACCAGTTACGTTCATTTATAAACTAGACCTGTGATTAAATACACAGGCAAAAATTTCATTTATGCAACAGCTTGCAACGCCCCAAAAAACATGTTACCCCAGGTCCTTTCAACATGAACGTCGGAGGCAGGTTGAATGACCTCACAGGTGTAAGTGGACACATCCATCGTTAAAATCTCAACATGGTCTCTCCTCTGGAAGGTGTCGTCCTCATTTGGACGAATCCCAGACGTCTCCAGTCCATCTTCTGCAGTAAGGATGCGGCCGTTTCTTTTGATCTGCAGGGTGACGTCTATAGGATAGGAGCCAGTGGACAGGCACGTCAAGAAGACGTTTGTGTCAACGTGGCTTCTTTGTGAGAACAGGTGCACTTCAGGTGGAGCTGGAAAGAGAAAGTATAAATCTGAATGATGTGCTCTATGTCTAATATCAGATAATTGATGGCTACGAAGCCTGACATTTAAAAAAAAGGTAAAAAAAATAGCAATAAATAAATAAAAAACTCATGTGCTGAAGACATCTAGCAGGGGATGTGGAGCAGATGGTTGAAAGTCTGACAAAATGAAAATTACTATTCATTAAATTCTTAAATTCGTTATCTTCATTAAAGAAGTAAAAAGACGCACTGCAGACTTTTTATTCGTAGTAAGCTAAATGTGCGAGAATGAGGAACTAATTTGTTCATGTTAACAAAAGTTTATGAAATATAAACAAGCAATAGAAAATGTCGTGGCCCAGAGAAGTGACTGCAATGGCAGCAGAGCCGCCCAGATAAGCATGGCGCCCTCTGGTGTCCCGGCAGGGTATAGCATGGTGAGCTGATGGAGGCGAATACTACGCTTTAAATCTAAAGTCCTACAAGAATTTCTACGGTATGAGGCTCGTTTCATTCAACATATGCCTGTTGATTTTCCTCTTTGAGGCTTTATGAAGTTTGATTGGACTAAATGTAACATGGGGGTGCATTTGGATGTCCTTAAAAATAGAAAATAAAGTCTAAACAGAAATGCAACAGCTTGATTTTAGATTTCAAAAACAAATTCTGATTTTCTTTTTACTTCAAGTAAATCTAGATGCAATATTTTATAAATAATATTGTGTTTGAGTCCAAACGGGATTTTCGGAGATGCTCTCTGCTACAGTCTCTGAACTTGCTCCAGTCCAAACACTCCTTCTCCAGATAAATGGTAAAATGGTAAATGGCCTGTATTTGATATAGCGCCTTCTAGAGTTCTTGAAACCCCCCAAGGCGCTTTACAACACAATCAGTCATTCACCCATTCACACACACATTCACACACTGGTGGGGATGAGCTACAATGTAGCCACAGCTGCCCTGGGGCACACTGACAGAGGCGAGGCTGCCGAGCACTGGCGCCACCAGTCCCTCCGACCACAACCAGCAGGCAACGTGGGTTAAGTGTCTTGCCCAAGGACACAACGACAGCGACAGACTGAGCGGGGCTCGAACCTGCAACCTTCCAATTACGGGGCGAGCACTTAACTCCTGTGCCACCGTCGCCCTTGGTGTATTCCTTCAGGACCTGAATATCATCCCACTTTCTCTTGGTTTCTACAGCTGCTTCAGTTGCAGCTACCGAAACTTCTGTTCTCATTGTCGAAGGGCAAGAAGTCATCTCCACCATAGTTGTACATGTAACATCCCATGGATGAACTTAAGACGGCCATCAGGTTGACTCACCCTCACACCCGACCATCCACTGAAGAATGTGGGTATCTGTTATGGAAAATTTATGTTTATTGGTTCTTGATCATGGACTCAGTCAACTGAATGTAAATGTATTGCTCTATGCCTCTCTGCATGCTAACTTATTCAGACACACCCACACAAGACACACACCACACACACACACACACACACACACACACACACACACACACACACACACACACACACACATTCTTGACTTCCCACACACAGACACAATCTCTCTTTTTCTACACTCCCATCTGTCTATAAATAAGCTCTGTGACCGGATGTTCGGTCCATTTTGCCTCGTGCATCTTGCCACAGTTATAACTGTTTGACTTGTTGTTCATTGTCTCCTTTTTCTCTCCGACTATAGGAAATGGGTTATTGATAAACATATTGATAAAATCCATGACAGTATCTGAAGGGAAAAATAAAAATGCACAGTCAAACAAAAACAATGAGCGCTGGAGAGCGTAACAGTGTCACCGCCATTTTGGGTGGGTCTCCTCACTCTTCAAGTCAATGCAGAGTGAGCAACTACGCCTGTTTCTGTGCAGCCATATTGTTACAACAACTGGCTTAAGCCGGGTGTAAACTGTGCGAATTTTTCACTCATAGCACTCAGCTTCAGCTCAAACTGTACGACTTCCTCGCAGGGCAGATCTCACGAGCCATGTGCTCACACTGTACGACCCAGTTCTCGGATGCAACCTGACTGCTCACACTGTACGTCTGGTAGCAACACGTCGGACCTAAAAATATGCTAAAAATAGCAGTTTTTACTCAACACCTCAGACTTTTTTGTCTTGTTTTGCCTGTTGCCCTTCGGGAGTGCTGCAGGAGGACACACAGGGATTTATGGGGGTTGGATGAGTAAAACGAAATAAAGAAAGTAAATCTGTGTTTTGTGATCAGTTTAATTAGACATGAACACGACAAACACGCTTTCTTGACCATCTTTGTGACTAAAAAAAACGTGTAGAAATTAAAACGAACAACGTGTGTTATTAGGGAAATAGCGGGCGAGCGGTGCTGATGCAGGATTGCGCATGCGCCATGAGCGGTTCTGATACTTTTTGGGTCGCAGCTGCTCGCAGCGCCGCTTCAACAGTGCGATACCCTCACGAGGGATGAGTGAAATTTTAAACACGCCAGAAGTTTGTGTGAGCTCACGATTGCTGATCGGTAGCTGGTCACGTGGTGTTAATCGCCTCTCGTAACCCCCTGAACACTACACGACGCTCGGCGCAAAACTCGCCCCGATCTCGTGTATTCTCGCACGAGTGGAAAATCAGCTCAAAAAAGTGAAAAAGTCACACAGTGTACGCCTGGCTTTACTACTGAAAACAGATCACGTGGGATTATTGGTGACTTTTCTAGCTTACCTGATAGGATTTTATATTTAAATGTATATTTATTTACTTGGTTTAATTATATCTATATTTTAATTATCATGCCATACCTTGTGCTTGTGAAAAACCTTGTATTCTTAGTTGGGTAAGCACCTTTCTCAGTAGACATAAATGCACTGAGGGCGAATGAAGACCCATCTATAATGGCGGCCGGCTACTACGGCAGCTCCAATAGGCAGCACCAGTCCACGGGGCATCTACGTTTGTGGTCCACATTACCTCGGTTTTTAGACAAAACTCCATCCACACGTAACCACATGAGTACATTATTAAGCACATTCATATGCCTGACATGTAGGCGGCAGAAGTTGGCCCGAATCCAATCTACTTCGTCTTCATACTTAACTTCAACAAAACATGAAACATGGTGCCTAGCTCCTTTGTGTGGTCCGGTAAGGAGGTAGAATTGCTAAAAGTCAAATAGAGCTTGAACGACTGATAACGCAGGCACAGCTCTGAGGGCATCCATGTTGTAGTGCAAACACAGGTTGCACATGGGCCATCAGCATTTTTGTTGCAGTGACATGAAACCTAAAACTCCGGTTACTGTTGTCCACAGTTACGCTTAAAACAGAGTAAACGCGAATCTTCACTTTGGCCGGAGTTTTAAAAAAGATGCGTTTTCATTGCGTAAATTTGCATTTTCGTGTGCATGACAGGTTGAATCAAAGGAAAGATCTTACGATTGTGAAAATAGTTGACTAGTTTGATGTAGTTTTAGTGTCCAGAAATGGTAATTTTTCATCTACAGTTTGACCTCTTCAATATCCGGTCAGCTGCAGACATAAGTCTGCATCTGGTGCCTTCAATTTTCCAAGCTGCAAGAACGATTCTACAGTGCTGTGTTGATACTTAGATTGTCGACAACAATGTGTTACTTCCTCAAGGAAGCTCTGCCGAGCTGCGTCCTATCTGTTCCTTGCTTCACAGAACAAAAGAAGAACTTTTATAATGAAACCATATAATGAAATGAACATGGTTAATGAAATCAGGTAATGAATGGACAAGGTGTTAAATGAAATGTTTTGATTAATCTGTGCTTAAATTATTAAGGATGAAATGAATGTGTCTTGCAATGACCCGTATATTTAATCAGTGTACGTGACTGGACATGCTCACACACTCACCATATCTCCATGACGCAAAGTTAAAAGTAATTGCATGCACATAGATATTTTCTTATCCACAAATCAGAGCATCTTTTGTCTTTGGAAAAGGCGGGTGTTCTGAGGTTTGTTTGTTAACACCTCTTAACCTCTTTTGTCCTGATTTGCCACGCAATCATAACATGAGAATTATTAAAACAGAACTCACTTCCTGAGTGGTTCAGTTCGAGTTTCAGTAGGCCTTTGGAGTGGCCAATCTAAAATAAACTCTTCGAACCATCAAAGCATTCGACAAGCCGTCAAAGCTGCCTGCAGTGACACAGAAACTTGCTCCTTCAGCTATTCAGAAACAGCTGTTCTAGACGCAAACGATTTTCTCTATCGTTGCTACCCGGAGGCATCTCAGGACTGATTTGGTCGCATCGAGGTTTCCTACAAACCACGTGCATTGGGGTCACCGGCTCCTCGACATCTCGACTCCAAACGAGTGTCTCCAGAACGGGTACGTAGGCATGACATGAATTGTGTCTGATGCCGTTTTATAAACCATCATTTCTAGTTTATAGCAGACCAGATTCAATCACGCTCAAAACTCAGTTTCTTTCAGATACAAAGGTTCTGGTAAACATCCATTCTACACTATATCACTTCACACGTCACATTTCATCACCAACACATTCCATTGTTTCATAGTTGTCATGTTTTATAATTTGTTTAAAAAATAAATTTCTTATTTTTACAAACTTGACTGTCTGAATTAATACAAAGTGAACCATGATCACTGAAAAAGCAAAGAATCATAATTCTTCTGATTAAACATTCAAAGATCAATAAGGTTGATATCCTATATTTATATAAATAATATCACATCTTATTGGTCATAAGTAAAGGTAGTATATTAAGCTTAAAAGCAAATATAATCCCTCTACATAGTGATGAACCGCTCTTGCAGAAACTAAGGCTTTTAACTGCTGAAATGTCTCCTCAGTCTTCATTTGCTTCTAAAGGATCATTTTAGCATGCACTAGTTCCATAGTATGCCTTTAAAGAAAATAACATGCTTTTATTTTGAAGCAGGCGCTGTAGTTTTTATGTAAGTGCACTAGTAGTATCAGGATTTTCTCAGCTGGTTTACAAAGTTTATGGAGAT